TTGTTAGAGCGATGTTACTGAACATGTATATCTTGGTGTAGGGATCCACAATTGATATTGCCTCATTTGTTTGGTACTGTATTATAACTTATTAACACTGTATTTCAAACAAAACACCAAACTTTTAACTGTACCTGGAGGCATCCAAAAAGTCTACAGACAGTAAGACTTTCCATTCATCCTTCTTTTGTGAATATCTATGCTCAAGAGGTGACTCCTGGGTTAGATCCAAGTCTACCAAGTAATGGCATTTACTGATGTCAACCTGAAAACGCCAAACAAATCTGATCACCTACTGTAAAATCATAAATTTTCGTGGGACATTAAATTTCGTTTATTTTGTGGATAACAAAAATCCACGAAATTAAATCCCCACAAAAACATCAATTTGGTATGAAATAGATAGGGGAAAATTAGAAATCAGCGAAATATAATGTCCTTGAAACAGGTTAGTATATGAAAACCACGAAATTTTAACCCCACGAAAATAAATGATTCTACAGTATCTAACACAGATCAGCACTGACATATGTAGTACCTGTCTAATCTGATACCCTGTGCTGTCTTATCTGACACACTGTGGGATCCATAACATGCTAAGGATAGTGTCATTTTACACAGGTTTAATTTTGGTAGTTTTTATGAAAATTGGGATCACAGCTGTTGGTTTGATAGGACAAGGTGTCAGAATTATCAGGTGTTGGATAAGATCGGTTTTAACAGTTGGAAAAAAAGTTCTAATATCTAAACTTTTTAGACATTTCAATCTAAGGATGTTAAGTGAATGGAACAAAATTTTGTATAAGCACAACTAGTGTGGCCCTGATTTTTGCAGAGAGCAAACCAAGAAAATCGTGATAAATCTCAAATCCTTATACTTTGGTATGTGCGAACTATCACCCCATGAAAAATTTGTCTTCAGGGGTGAATGAGTTAAAAAAAAAAATCCATTCCGACACCACTCCCACCCCTACTTGTCTATTCCGACACCACTCCCACCCCTCCTTGTCTATTCCTACACCACTACCCCCCTACTTGTCTATTCCTACACCACTCCCCCCCCTACTTGTCCATTCCTACACCACTCCCCCCCCTCCTTGTCTATTCCTACCCCACTCCACCCCTACTTGTCTATTCCTACACCACTACAACCCTACTTGTCTATTCCGACACCACTCCCCCCCCTACTTGTCTATTCCTACACCTCTCCCACCCCTACTTGTCTATTCCGACACCACCCCCACCCCTACTTGTCTATTCCTACACCCCTACACCCCTACTTGTCTACTCCTACACCACTACACCCCTACTTGTCTATTCCTACACCACTACACCCCTACTTGTCCATTCCGACACCACTCCCACCCCTACTTGTCCATTCCTACACCACTCCCCCCCCTACTTGTCCATTCCTACACCACTCCCCCCCCTACTTGTCTATTCCTACACCACTACACCCCTACTTGTCTACTCCTACACCACTACACCCCTACTTGTCTATTCCTACACCACTACACCCCTTCTTGTCTATTCCAACACCACTCCCACCCCTACTTGTCTATTCCGACACCCCTCCCACCCCTACTTGTCTATTCCGACACCACCCCCACCCCTACTTGTCTATTCCTACACCCCTACACCCCTACTTGTCTACTCCTACACCACTCCACCCCTACTTGTCTACTCCTACACCACTACACCCCTACTTGTCTATTCCAACCCCACTCCCTCCCCTACTTGTCTATTCCTACACCACTACAACCCTACTTGTCTATTCCGACACCACTCCCCCCCCTCCTTGTCTATTCCTACCCCACTCCACCCCTACTTGTCTATTCCTACACCACTCCCCCCCCTACTTGTCTATTCCTACACCACTCCCCCCCCTACTTGTCCATTCCTACACCACTCCCACCCCTACTTGTCCATTCCTACACCACTCCCACCCCTCCTTGTCTATTCCTACACCACTACCCCCCTACTTGTCTATTCCTACACCACTACACCCCTTCTTGTCTATTCCAACACCACTCCCACCCCTACTTGTCTTTTCCTACACCACTACACCCCTACTTGTCTATTCCTACACCACTCCCCCCCCTACTTGTCTATTCCTACACCCCTACACCCCTACTTGTCTATTCCAACACCACTCCCACCCCTACTTGTCTTTTCCTACACCACTACACCCCTACTTGTCTATTCCGACACCACTCCCTCCCCTACTTGTCTATTCCTACACCACTACACCCCTACTTGTCTATTCCGACACCTATCCCACCCCTACTTGTCTATTTTAAACTTACGTATCTGGACTTTTCTTCCTTATTCATGTCATTCATATGACTAGGGATGACACTTGTAGCATCAGGGCCTTTCTGGAATGGTTGGGGTAGTTGGCCTTTAAAATCAGACTCAATAAACTTTAGGTTCCAGCTGTAATCATAGAAACAGATGTTGGCGATAGGCTTAGCTCACTTGTACACTTTTCCTGTGACCCCAACATCTGGGGTTCTGGTACAGATTCTGTTGTACCAGGGATAATCAAAAGTGACTATCTTTAATTAAATAACACTTTTTTAATCATTCAGATATTTAATTCATTTTCATTTATTAAGAGAAACCAATTCAATCAAAATAAGTTGTCATAAATAATTGACAAACATTTATAAGTTAAGGAAATAGGATTGTGTCACCATTTCTCAGTAGAATTTCTTCAAATTTTGTAGTTATATTGCTTTAAAGTAAAGAAAATTTTCTGCCACAAAGAAAATATAGGTTGTCAGAATTTTAAGGATTTTAAATGGAAATTTATGTNTGCTGAAATTGTGTAAAATTAATTCTCTATACACGATATAAAAATTGACATTTTATAATAAAACCATATACACGTAGTAATTGCAGGTAAGAGTTATCGTTCTTGAAAAACTTCACAGTAGTGAAATAGGTAGCCGGGTTCCTGAAGTACAGAAAAATGGACACATGTGACTCATTGATAAAAAAACACCTGAATTAATGCCTGGATTGCTTTGAAATACTTAAATATTGAGAGAACACACTGTTCTGTCAATAATAAACATACAATATTCATCAGTTTAATATTAAACATTAGAATTTGCGGAAATTGTGATACTGTCTCCCTACATTGGATTTTCAACTAGGGATGTACTTCCTGTTTCCGTTTATCAATACACTCCAATGACCTTAAAAGGAGCTTGCCACAGCTTACAATCTAGGGGAGAGAACTCTCCATTTGCAGCTGAATTTGCATAATTACTGTAAGATTACTAATTTAAGCAGACTCAAATTTAAGCATATTGTAAACGAGATTAGCACATTGAAAAAGAAAACTAAAGAAACTTTGATCACTGAAATCATAAAATTAAAATACCACTAAAATATCTATGTTGACAGCTGTATACAGTTTGAGCTCTACAATATCACTAAAATATCTATGTTGACAGTATACAGTTTGAGCTCTACAATACCACTAAAATATCTGTGTTGACAGTATACAGTTTGAGCTCTATAATACGACTAAAATATTGGTGTTTACATTATACAGTTTGAGCTCTATAATACCACTAAAATATCTGTGTTTACATTATACAGTTTGAGCTCTAAAGTATCTGTGTTGACAGTATACAGTTTGAGCTCAGAATTTACAGCAGCGAAAGTCTTAGAGTTTCAATGGAAACAAACTCACTTCTCCCCAGGCAAGAAGAAACTGCTTGGAAAGCGATACCATTCCTTGCCGACACAGATATTAACAGGTTTGTCAGTGGAGAGGGTGTGTATTTGAGGATCAGCAGCAATTTTATTCAGTCCTACATACAAGTCCAGGGGGGCATGGTAACCTGCAAATACAACAAAACTGACAAAGCAGGTTTAAGGTAAAACAGGCCCAGGGGCCTGTGAGCATTTTCACAAAAAATCTTACGATATATTTTACTCGTAAGAGAAAACTTACGATTTTGTTTCGTTTCACAAAAATTCTTATGAATTATGAATCGTAAGTGAAGAAAATATTGTAACTTTACGATAGCTTGACCTCTCTCTCTTAAGTGTAAAATTTTATCGAGGCAGATTTAACCACCGCACCTAAGCCATGCCCTATTTCTAACAAAATCAATATAGATGTTCCGTAAGGGTCCGTGTTAGTTTAATCGACATAATGTAACGACAAATTTAATCACATTTAATAATAGATGAGTAGTAAGTATGCTTGGTTTGACCGCCTTGATTTATTACTTATTATTTAAATCCGATTAGTGTATTGTGAAAATCACACACAACTATTCCTCAATCAGGAAATCACAGTATCATATAGATATTTAAGGATTAACTTGAAAATATTTTTCATGTTATGGAGATATTACACAAACAAGAGGCCAATGGGCCTTAACGGTCACCTGAGTTATGTAAAAACTGATGTTATCGATGTTGCCAAATGAAAAAGAAATAATTTTGTAACAAAGGTAACTTGAACTACATGTAACGCAAAAGTAGTGTGAACGATACGAGTAGTATATGTACTATGTACAAATAGTGGTTCTGTCAGTCAGCTGAATTTTGGTAAAGCACCTTAAAACCCTTCCATCTATATATATGAAGAGCATACAATTCTATCATATCTGGATCTTGAGAGGAAGATTTTTGAAATTTTAGTTAATTTGACCCTTTTTGGCCCCACCCCTTAGGCCCCTGGGGGCTTGGGACCATGTAATTCACAATTAAACTATAATAAAGTTTACCCCCTCCCCAGGGGGAAACGTGAGACCCAAGGGTCATGAAATTCACAAATTTGGTAAAGCACCATTCCATCTATGAAGAGTATTTGAATCTACCATATCTGAAATTTCAAAAATCTTCTTCTCATAAAACCCTTGAGAAGAAGATTTTGAAATTTCATTCAAATCAACCCTTTTTGGCCCCACCCATCAGCCCCTGTGGGTAAGTCAGGGCTGATTTCTGCATTTCATCAAACTACTATCTGATACTGATAATGCTAACCAAGTTTGAATTAATTCCAATGGAAATTTTAAATTAAATAAATGTTGGTCCAAAATGTGATTTCCCTATATAAACTAAAGTAAAGTTTATCCCCTCCCCAGGGGGAACTGTGAGACCGCAGGGTCATGAAATTCACAATTTTGGTAAAGCACCTTAAGACCGTTCCATCTATGAAAAGTGTTTGATTCTACCATATCTGGATCTTGAGAAGAAGATTTTTTTATCTGGATCTTGAGAAGAAGATTTTTGAAATTTTAGTCAATTTGACCCTTTTTGGCCCCGCCCCTCAGGCCCTTGGGGGCTGGGGACCATATAATTAACAATTTTGGGTGAACTTGGGCCATGGAAGGTTTCTGCAAAATTTCATTGAAATTAGTTCAGGGGTTTTAGAGAAGAAGTCGAAAATGTTAATTGTTTACGGACAGACGTTGCAAGCCTGACAAAAGGCGATCGCTATAGGTCACCGGAGACTTTGTCTCAGATGACCTAACAAGAGATCCCAAGGGGATCTTGGCGTCCACCATTGTACCATCTTCATTAGTTCTTTGTCAGTTCGATCTTTTCTCTTCTTTCCTCTAATCTGTTTGATCGAGTCATGTTAACAGTAATTGCACCTTGAGGTAACTTCTGATCTAAACTTAATACCGATGTGTATGCTAGCCAACCTTCAAAGTGAGTTTGTCATTCCACATATTTACTAGTACAGTACTTAATGCGAAAGAAATAGAATCGATCATTGCAATATGAGAAAGATCTGTTTAGTTCTTCCTTTTGCCATTTTGTATTTGAAGAAGCACTTGCCCAAATGACATATTGATGGGCCAAATAATTTTGGGAAGAAATATTTCCACAGCATTTAACACAATGCTTCAGTACATTAAAATACATATAACATGACAATGTTTGTAATATGTAAAACAGAATAAAACATTATATTTTTAATTCTTCAACCGTAGTAAAACCCGACATGATCCACTCCATTCAGGCTTCCCAAAAAGAAATACACAAAACTTGCACCTCAAAGAAGACACCCTGGCACTATATATATAGAAAATCTGAAAAGAAAAATCATCACATTTTCTAAATCACGGACAGTTTGATTCAAATCGAAGTAATGACAACTGAAAAAGGTACTGCCCCCCCCCCTCCCCCCCCCAGTTAATGTGGAAGGGACTATAATTTCTTTTATTCATTAATTTTTTGACAGTCACCAAAACTATTTTTGCTGGGCCAGTGACTATTTCACTTTTGACAACTTTTGGTCGCTCAAGCAAGACTTAAACCGCCATTGGTGAGCAGGAGACCGTCCATTTCAGTCACTGCTGCACAACAAGGGAACAAAGGGAACCTACATATAAAATTGGAGAAAGATCCCTCTGGTACTTCCCAAGAAATAGCGATAACAAACTTTCACAATCAAAATCCAAGATGACTGCCTGTCGGCCATGTTGTTGATCAGTCTCAAAAGTCCACAGCTAAGGACCAAGGGGAACATACATACGAAATTTGAGAAAGATCCCTCAGGTACTTCCCGAGAAATAGCGATAACAAACTTTCACTATCAAAATCCAAGATGGCTGCCTGCTTGGCAGTGATATTTACTCATATTGGAACTGCTTCGATTGGGCAAAAAAGTTATATTAAAGAGAGAGAGAGAGTGTGTGTGTTTGTGTGAAATGGAGATATGCATCACATTTAATTTTTGCGCCTTCAAATATTTTCAAAAATTAAAGGATTCTAAAAAATATAGAAAATACATGATTTTGTATCTTTATTTACTTGTATTTCTCTAGCTTCTCGCCCTCCTTCGTAAAATCGTGGATCCATGCCTGTAATGTCCCCTCTAACTGTAAATCGTGGATCCACGCCTGTAGTGCCCCCTCTAACTGTAAATCCCAGATCCATACCTGTAATGCCCCCTCTAACTATAAGTCGTGGATTGACGCCTGTAGCGCCCCTCTAAATGTAAATCGTGGATTGACGCCTGTAGCGCCCCTTTAACTGTAAATCGTGGATCCACACCTGTAGTGCCCCTTCTAACTGTAAATCGTGGATCCACGCCTGTAGTGCCCCCTCTAACTGTAAATCGTGGATCTATGCCTGTAGCGCCCTCTCTAACTGTAAATCGTGGATCCATGACTGTAGTGTCTCCTCTTACTGTAAATCGTGGATCCACGCCTGTAGTGCCCCCTCTAACTGTAAATCGTGGATCTATGCCTGTAGTGTCTCCTCTAACTGTAAATCGTGGATCCATGACTGTAGTGCCCCTCTAACTGTAAATCGTGGATCCATGCCTGTAGTGCCCCTCTAACTGTAAATCTTGGATCCACACCTGTAATGCCCCCTCTTACTGTAAATCGTGGATCCACACACGCCTGTTGTGCCCCCTCTAACGGTAAATCCTGTTACCAGAAGAAAATGCTTTGTTCTTCACATTTTTGTTAACCTTTTTCGTAGAAGTTCGTAAAACCGGAAGCATGTGTAAGACTTGCGCAAACTAAGCAAATGTCCTTGCTATGGAGGATTTTTCTCGTAAGTCAAATCGTAAGAGCAAACAATAATCTTAAGAATTGTCTGATGTTTTTTTTTTAACTTACGACTACTTTCGTGAAACTGACTTATGAGTTCTCTTACGATAATCTAACTCAAAACCTTACGACAAATATAAAGATTCTTTGTGAAAAGATTCAAAGATCATTGGAATGCTGGTAAAAGCAAAGATTATACATGTATGTAGAACAGACTTAATTTTTGCCATGCCCTGCATCTGTAAAATTGATTGACAATACACTCTGAAGCCTTGTCAACTTTTATGAATAAAAATTTGAGACCCAACAAAGTAAAATTTGGAAAATGTACAAATAATTTCATATTTTTCATTTAGTCAAACTATAAGGACCCACGTACCACAGTAAAAAACTGTAACAAAGTGTTTGAAACAATATTTTCCGGCATGACTTAAGTTTTGATAAATAATTTCTGACAATAAAACCATACCTTGCGGGAACTTTATGAAACAAGAGGCCCAAGGTCCTTAGCGGTCACCTGAGTTATATCATAGGTACTGGTAGCTTTATTTTATTGTTTAGATGTGATGTGGAAATCAGCATGTAAACTAAGTGAAATACAATACTTGTCATATCATCAAAGGATAAGAATTTGAAAATATTGGTAAATGTTCCCTTTGGGGCCCCGCCCTAGCCCCTGGGGATGGGGCAGGAATCCAAATTTTACAAAGTAATACTCTCATTCACCAAAGATGATTCTGACTAAGTTTGAGTAATTTTCTGCTGAAAATGGATAAAATATATATCCAAAAGTGTTATTTCCCTATATAAACTATAGTAAACTTTACCCCCTCCCCAAGGGAGAACAAATAGCTCGGGGGTCCTGAAATTTACAATTTAAGTAATGCCCCTGATGATCTTTCTTTCCATGCAGAGAAAATGAATGTAGTACCTCTGAGTCTGGAGGAGAAAAAAAATGGAAATATTGGTTAATTTTCCCTTTGGGGCCCCACCCTGGCCCCAGGGGTTGGGGTAGGAATCTCAATTTAACAATCTGAAACCATCTTCTTTCAAGGATAATTCTCACCAAGTAAAAATAATTTCCTACTGAAAGTTGTCAAAATATACCCAAAAGTGTTATTTCCCTATATAAACCTTAGTAAACTTTACCCCCTCTCCAAGGGAGAACGGATAGCTCAGGGATCCTGAAATTTACAATTTAAGTAAAGCCCCTGATGATCTTTCTTTCCATGCAGAGAAAATGACTGTAGCACCTCTGAGTCTGGAGAAGAACATTTTTGAATATTGGTTAATTTTCCCTTTGGGGCCCCGCCCTGGCCCCAGGGGTTGGGGTAGGAATCTCAATTTTACAATTTGAAACCATCTTCCTCCAAGGATAATTCTCACCAAGTAAAAATAATTTCCTACAGAAAGTTGTCAAAATATACCCAAAAGTGTTATTTCCCTATATAAACTATAGTAAACTTTACCCCCTCCCCAAGGGAGAACGGATAGCTCGGGGGTCCTGAAATTTACAATTTAAGTAATGCCCCTGATGATCTTTCTTTCCATGCAGAGAAAATGAATGTAGTACCTCTGAGTCTGGAGGAGAAAAAAAATGGAAATATTGGTTAATTTTCCCTTTGGGGCCCCACCCTGGCCCCAGGGGTTGGGGTAGGAATCTCAATTTAACAATCTGAAACCATCTTCTTTCAAGGATAATTCTCACCAAGTAAAAATAATTTCCTACTGAAAGTTGTCAAAATATACCCAAAAGTGTTATTTCCCTATATAAACCTTAGTAAACTTTACCCCCTCTCCAAGGGAGAACGGATAGCTCAGGGATCCTGAAATTTACAATTTAAGTAAAGCCCCTGATGATCTTTCTTTCCATGCAGAGAAAATGACTGTAGCACCTCTGAGTCTGGAGAAGAACATTTTTGAATATTGGTTAATTTTCCCTTTGGGGCCCCGCCCTGGCCCCAGGGGTTGGGGTAGGAATCTCAATTTTACAATTTGAAACCATCTTCCTCCAAGGATAATTCTCACCAAGTAAAAATAATTTCCTACAGAAAGTTGTCAAAATATACCCAAAAGTGTTATTTCCCTATATAAACCTTAGTAAACTTTACACCCTTCCCAAGGGAGAACAAATAGCTCGGGGGTCCTGAAATTTACAATTTAAATAAAGCCCCTGATGATCTTTCTTTCCATGCAGAGAAAATGACTGTAGTACCTCTGAGTCTGGAGAAGAACATTTTTGAAATATTGGTTAATTTTCCCTTCGGGGCCCCGCCCTGGCCCCAGGGGTTGGGGTAGGAATCCCAATTTTATAATTTTGTAGCCTCATCTACCAAGGATGATTCTGACCAAGTTTGAAAAAAATCCATCCACTGGTTCTTGAGAAGAAGTTGAAAATGTAAAAAGTTTACTCACGACGGACGACGACGGACGGAAAGCGATTAGAATAGGTCACTTGAGCAAAGCTCAGGTGACCTTAAAATAGATAAACACAAAATATAATCATTGATAGTGTCCTGAATGTAAAAGTTCAGTGGTGCTGTACCACGGTTTGAACCCTTGACTTCTGATTGTTATACCATCGTTCTAACCGACTGAGCTATCTAGTCAACGGAAGTGTCCATGCAGTCCAACTGTGCTACCGTTATCTCCAAACAGGGTATAAGGTGAGATAGTTATTTCAGTACCCAGTAGTTTCATAGCAACCTATAGCTAATGATGGGATGTTTCGGTTTTAAAGACAAAAAAAATAAGAGTTTTCAAAAGTAAATTTGACAACATACAGTAAACAAAATGTGAAGAATACAAAGATTAAATATTTAAGTTTAAGTGCTAAAAACTATTGAAACGACTTTTTGGAAGTATCGAAAGGTCTTAAACAAGTACTGAAACGACAGAGTACTGAAATGTCTGTACCGCTAATGCAATTTATCCTGTAATTACCTACCTTGGTAGATAGCAAATATCCTGGACAATGAGACGAGAGAGTAGGTGAATGCTGTAGCCTGGGAAATCCAGTTTGTATAGTCGGTGTAGTGCCTGGACGACTGGCTGGTGAATAGATAACACCAAAGCTTCTGTACCAACAAATAAAACTGAATAGTAAAATAAAAATAAACAAGACTATATCGCTCACCTGGTTATTTAAGCAATCATGGCACAATATTTACATTAATGCTCTGTAATGCCAAGTTGTAACCACTTCAGACATGTAGGGTAAGAACCTGGAAACGTTACTATGGAGACTTTATGATTCATAAAGAATTAAGGTTGTTACTATTACTAGCACATTAGTTGGGTTGGAGATAAAAAGTATGTGATGGCTGTTCATTTGTCGAATTGTCTATATAAACAATACCAAACTTTAACGCCTCCCCAAAGGCAAACGAGGGACCTGGGGCACATGCAAATCACAAAGTATATAAACCACCCAAATGCCTTTACAGCTATGGGTAGCATTTTTATAACTAAAGAAGAAGATTTTAAAAAAATTCCCAAACCCCCTCCCCCTTTTTAGCCCCTCACTCAGTCCCTAGGTGGTCAGACTCACAAATATTATACCAGCAAACCTCCATCCCCTAACAAGTATTTCTGTCAAAAATGAGCAAACTCCGTTCAAAACATTGGAAGATATGGCCTATTATGTCTATTTCATATATAAACTATGCTAAATTTCAACCCCTCCTCAGGGGCAAACAGAGGCCCTGAGAGACATGAAAATCACAAATTTTATAAACCGCCGAAAGGCCTTTACAGCTATGAGTAGTTTTTGATTCTAACATTTCTAGAACTGGAGAAGAAGATTTTTGAAATTTCCCTAAATTCCCCCCCTTTTCGGCCCCTAACTCAGCCCCCTAGGGGGACAGGCTCACACAATTTATACCAGCAGACCCTCCTCCCCTAATAAGTATTTCTCTTAAATATGAACAAATTATTTTCAAAACAATGGCCTGTCATGTCTATTTCCTATATAAACTATACTAAATTTTACCCCCTCCTCAGGTCATGAAAATCACAAATTGTATAAACCACCCAAATGCCTTTACAGCTATGGGTAGTATTTGATCCTAGCATTTTTATAACCAAATAAGATTTTTTTTTAAATTTTCCCAAATCCCCTCCCCCTTTTTAGCCCCTAACTCAGCCCCTAGGGTGTCAGACTCATAAATAGGAGATATGAAAATCACAATTTTTATAAACCACCCAAAGGCCTTTACAAACTACAATTTCACAATCTAGACATCTGAAGGAACAAAATTTTCTTAATGGTTAAGCACAGAGACGGGACACTTGGCATATAAAGTTATACTCAAATGAATAGGCTTTATTACAACAAATTGAACAACAACAAGTAAGTGTATTTAACAAAACCTCAATAAAACTATAATATTATATATGAGATACAATCTATTTTTCAAACATCTTGTACTACTGTTGATGTATAGGAATCGTTACCCATTACTATTTCCTGACGACATTACAGTTCTCATGTTAATTATTGCAGCTCCTTTATATCATATTTTGTGAAATCGAGAAATTATAACACTGGGAAAGAGCCTGCTCAACAGTAACTCAGCATGTTTTACATTATACATTGGAACCTCATCATGTTTTACATTATACATTGGTCCCTCAGCATGTTTTACATTATGCATTGGTACATTGCATTGATTGCACCGTTTTATATTATACATTGGTACATTGATTGCCTCGTTTTACATTATACATTGGCACCTCATCATGTTTTACATTATACATTGGTAACTCAGCCTGTTTTACATTAGCATTGGTACCTCAGCATGTTTTACATTATGCATTGGTACATTGCATTGATTGCACCGTTTTACATTATACATTGGTACATTGATTGCCCCGTTTTACATTATACATTGGTACATTGGTTGCCCCATTTTACATTATATATTGGTACCTCAGCATGTTTTACATTATATATTAGTACATTGATTGCCCCGTTTTACATTATACATTGCTACATCAGCATGTTTTACATTATACATTGGTACCTCAGCCTGTTTTACATTATACATTGGTACCTCAGCCTGTTTTACATTAGCATTGGTACCTCAGCATGTTTTACATTATACATTGATACATTGATTGCCCCGTTTTACATTATACATTGCTACCTCAGCATGTTTTACATTATACATTGGTACATTGGTTGCCCCATTTTACATTATATATTGGTACCTCACCATGTTTTACATTATACATTGGTTCATTGATCGCCCCGTTTTACATTATACATTGCTACATCAGCATGTTTTACATTATACATTGGTACCTTGATTGCCCCGTTTTACATTATACATTGTTACCTGAGCATGTTTTACATTATACATTGGTACATTGGTTGCCCCATTTTACATTATATATTGGTACCTCACCATGTTTTACATTATACATTGGTTCATTGATCGCCCCGTTTTACATTATACATTGCTACATCAGCATGTTTTACATTATACATTGGTACGTTGATTGCCCCGTTTTACATTATACATTGCTACATCAGCATGTTTTACATTATACATTGGTACATTGGTTGCCCCGTTTTACATTATACATTGCTACCTCAGCATTTTTTACATTATACATTGGTACCTCAGCATTTTTTACATTATACATTGGTACCTCAGCATTTTTTACATTATACATTGGTACATTGATTGCCCCATTTTACATTATATATTGGTACCTCAGCATGTTTTACATTATACATTGGTTCATTGATCGCCCCGTTTTACATTATACATTGCTACATTGATTGCCTCGTTTTACATTATAAATTGGTACATTGATCGCCCTGTTTTACTTTAGCATTGGTACCTCAGCATGTTTTACATTATACATTGGTACCTCAGTATGTTTTACATTATACATTGGTACATTGATCGCCCTGTTTTACATTATACATTTGTACCTCAGCACATTATACATTGGTATCTCAGCGTGTTTTACATTATACATCAGTATCTCAGCATGTTTTACATTATACATTGGTACCTCAGCATGCTTTACATTATACATTGGTACCTCAGCATGTTTTACATTATACATTTGGACCTCAGCATGTTTTACATTATACATTAGTATCTCAGCATGTTTTACATTATACATAGGTACCTCAGCATGTTTTACATTATACATTGGTACATTGATTGCCCCGTTTTACATTATACATTGGTACCTCAGTATGTTTTACATTAGACATTGGTACCTCAGCATGTTTTACATTATACATTTGTACATTGATTGCCCCGTTTTACATTATACATTGGGACATTGCATTGATAGCCCCGTTTTACATTATACATTGGTACGTTGATTGCCCCATTTTACATTATACATTGGTACATTGATTGCCTCGTTTTACATTATACATTGGTATATTGATTGCCCCGTTTTACATTATACATTGGTACCTCAGCATGCTTTACATTATAGATTGGTACCTCAGCATGTTTTACATTATACATTGGTACATTGATTGCCCCATTTTACATTATATATTGGTACCTCAGCATGTTTTACATTATACATTGGTACCTCAGTATGTTTTACATTGGTACCTCAGCATGTTTTACATTATGCATTGGTACATTGATTGCCCCGTTTTACATTATACATTGGTACATTGCATTGATAGCCCCGTTTTACATTATACATTGGTACATTGATTGCCCCATTTTACATTATACATTGGTACATTGATTGCCCCGTTTTACATTATACATTAGTACATTGATTGCCCCTTTTTACATTATACATTGGTATATTGATTGCCCCGTTTTACATTATACATTAGTACATTGATTGCCCCTTTTTACATTATACATTGGTATATTGATTGCCCCGTTTTACATTATACATTGGTACGTTGATTGCCCCATTTTACATTATACATTGGTACATTGATCGCCCCGTTTTACATTATACATTGGTACGTTGATTGCCCCATTTTACATTATACATTGGTACATTGATCGCCCTGTTTTACATTATACATTGGAACCTCAGCATGTTTTACATTATACATTGGGACCTCAGCATGTTTTACATTATACATTGGTACCTCAGTATGTTTTACATTATACATTGGTACATTGATCGCCCTGTTTTACATTATACATTTGAACCTCAGCATGTTTTACATTATACATTGGGACCTCAGCATGTTTTACATTATACATTGGTACTTCAGTATGTTTTACACTATACATTGGTACCTCAGCATGTTCTACATTATACATTGGTACCTCAGCATGTTTTACACTATACATTGGTACCTCAGCATGTTTTACATTATTCATTGGTACCTCAGCATGTTTTACATTATACATTGGACCATCGATTGCCCCGTTTTACATTATACATTGGTACATTGATTGCCCTGTTTTACATTATACATTGGTACATTGATCGCCCTGTTTTACATTATACATTTGAACCTCAGCATGTTTTACATTATACATTGGGCCCTCAGCATGTTTTTCATTATACATTGGTACCTCAGTATGTTTTACACTATACATTGGTACCTCAGCCTGTTTTACATTATACATTGGTACATTGATTGCCCTGTTTTACATTATACATTGGTACATTGATTGCCCCATTTTACATTATACATTGGGACCTCAGCATGTTTTACATTATACATTGGTACTTCAGTATGTTTTACACTATACATTGGTACCTCAGCATTTTTTACATTATACATTGGTACATCGATTGCCCCGTTTTACATTATACATTGGTCCCTCAGCAGTTTTTACATTATACATTGGTACCTCAGCATGTTTTACACCTCAGCATGTTTTACATTATACATTGGTACATTGATCGCCCTGTTTTACATTATAAATTGGAACCTCAGCATGTTTTACATTATACATTGGGCCCTCAGCATGTTTTTCATTATACATTGGTACCTCAGTATGTTTTACATTATACATTGGTACCTCAGCATGTTCTACATTATACATTGGTACCTCAGCATGTTTTACACTATACATTGGTACCTCAGCATGTTTTACATTGTACATTGGTACCTCAGCATGTTTTACATTATACATTGGTACATCGATTGCCCCGTTTTACATTATACATTGGTACCTCAGCAGTTTTTACATTATACATTGGTACCTCAGTATGTTTTACATTATACATTGGAACCTCATCATGTTTTACATTATACATTGGTGCCTCAGCATTTTTTACATTATACATTGGTACCTCAGCATTTATTACATTATACATTGGTACCTCAGGATGTTTTACATTATACATTGGTACCTCAGAATTTTTTACATTATACATTGGTACATTGCATTGATAGCCCCGTTTTACATTATACATTGGTACCTCAGTATGATTTACACTATACATTGGTACCTCAGTATGTTTTATATTATACATTGGTACATTGATCGCCCTGTTTTTCCTTATACATTGGTACCTCAGCATTTATTACATTATACATTGGTACCTCAGGATGTTTTACACTATACATTGGTACCTCAGTATGTTTTACATTATAGATTGGTACCTCAGCATGTTAAACATTATACATTGGTACGTTGATTGCCCCGTTTTACATTATACATTGGTACATTTACAGGGAGGGAAACAAAGGTGGTGTGTCCCTACCATGAGGGTTAAAAACATTATGTCATATTCAAATGAAAATATTATCAACTTAGTCATCTGCTTCGAGTAGTCAAAACTCAGGTGATGGGTCTCTTGTCCATTTTTCTAGAGAGGTCTCGAGTAAAAGAAATGTAATTGTGGAAATTTGAGCATGTGATGGTAACACAGTGTTTTATTTCCCAGTTATGTGATCAATTCAATCCAAGCAGACTTGCTGTTATAAAGATTAAGTATAGAAATAATATATAGAGGATATTTAATGGTGTGTTTAGTAATAACAAATATATTTCACGAGTGTGGCTAATATTTTGATATTTTACACAAGTGCGCAGCACGAGTGAAAAATATAAAAATATTAGCCACACTCGTGAAATATATTTGTTATTACTGAAGACACCATTAAATTTTCTATTTATTACATTTTTAAAGCATAAAACATGAAAAAATGCAATGCATTAAAAAAGGGCGGGAATCAGGAGCATAATAATTAGCGCCATATCCTAATGACATCACACCTGACAACAAGGCTGCCCGCCATTTTGAATATGGAATACTCAACGCAATTCTGACGTTTTCTGCTAATTTCTGGTAATATTACTTATACAAATGTTATTAATTGTATATTTATGTGAATACTTAAGTGTGTGTACCAAACATTTACCATAACAACCACTTAAATTCTACCGTTGCTTCATTTGAATCTGATCAAAAAATCGTTGCCTTTGAATGCAGTGAATACTAGATACTGTTATGATTGGTCAATATCAAATAGTGATATTTTCACACAGTGAAAATATCACTTTTGATATTTGTCACAGTGTGAAAGATATCAGTTTTATCAAGTTGATAGAATCCAATATTTCACTGGCAAAAATGTAATAAATGAAAGTATTATCATCAAAATTGCTATTTCTCTAAAAATTTCTAACCAGGCACATTTTTACATTTACGAGTGAAAGATTTACTGTCTAATGTAAGTACTACAGTCAAACTTTTATGTTTAAAATGTGCAGCACCATTGGGAAATGTTTATTGATGATAGAGTACCATGATTTACTGTACCTGTATGTAGTCGATGCTGATAGATCCACAAAGAACAAAAAATGGGTAGATTGGAAACAGGAATCGCTCCTCCTACAACAAAGAATTAAGAGCAAAAAAATCCACTTCCGCCAAAAAAATAAATGGACATATCATCAGTTACATAATTATGTATTTGTATGATGCAAACATTAATGATTCTGTACAAAATAATTGAACTTTCTACATGACGTTCCACCAAAATACTGCTTATATGTTGTTTCCATAAAATAAATGCCCATCTGAATTGCTAAGAGGATATGACCTTTGCCATTTACTGATTGACCCTGGTTTTCAGAACATAGCCTTAAAAGTTGCATAGTGCAAGCAACATATTCATGATACACACATTCTTTGAAGAATTATATATCAAGAGTAGAATGAATATGCATGTTTTACTTGTAGTTAACACCCCTCTATGGTCTCACACATGTACTTATAGTTAACACCCCTCTATGGCCTCACACATGTACTTATAGTTAACACCCCTCTATGGTCTCACACATGTTTTACTTGTAGTTAACACCCCTCTATGGTTTCACACATGTTCTTCTTATAGTTAACACCCCTCTATGGTCTCACACATGTACTTATAGTTAACACCCCTCTATGGCCTCACACATGTACTTATAGTTAACACCCCTCTATGGTCTCACACATGTTTTACTTGTAGTTAACACCCCTCTATGGTCTCACACATGTTCTTCTTATAGTTAACACCCCTCTATGGTCTCACACATGTACTTATAGTTAACACCCCTCTATGGTCTCACACATGTACTTATAGTTAACACCCCTCTATGGTCTCACACATGTACTTATAGTTAACACCCCTCTATGGTCTCACACATGTACTTATAGTTAACACCCCTCTATGGTCTCACACATGTACTTATAGTTAACACCCCTCTATGGTCTCACACATGTACTTATAGTTAACACCCCTCTATGGTCTCACACATGTACTTATAGTTAACACCCCTCTATGGTCTCACACATGTACTTATAGTTAACACCCCTCTATGGTCTCACACATGTACTTATAGTTAACACCCCTCTATGGTCTCACACATGTACTTATAGTTAACACCCCTCTATGGTCTCACACATGTACTTGTAGTTAACACCCCTCTATGGTCTCACACATGTACTTGTAGTTAACACCCCTCTATGGTCTCACACATGTACTTGACTTGTAGTTAACACCCCTCTATGGTCTCACACATGTACTTGTAGTTAACACCCCTCTATGGTCTCACACATGTACTTGTAGTTAACACCCCTCTATGGTCTCACACATGTACTTGTAGTTAACACCCCTCTATGGTCTCACACATGTACTTGTAGTTAACACCCCTCTATGGTCTCACACATGTACTTGTAGTTAACACCCCTCTATGGTCTCACACATGTACTTGTAGTTAACACCCCTCTATGGTCTCACACATGTACTTGTAGTTAACACCCCTCTATGGTCTCACACATGTACTTGTAGTTAACACCCCTCTATGGTCTCACACATGTACTTGTAGTTAACACCCCTCTATGGTCTCACACATGTACTTGTAGTTAACACCCCTCTATGGTCTCACACATGTACTTGTAGTTAACACCCCTCTATGGTCTCACACATGTACTTGTAGTTAACACCCCTCTATGGTCTCACACATGTACTTGACTTGTAGTTAACACCCCTCTATGGTCTCACACATGTACTTGTAGTTAACACCCCTCTATGGTCTCACACATGTACTTGTAGTTAACACCCCTCTATGGTCTCACACATGTACTTGTAGTTAACACCCCTCTATGGTCTCACACATGTACTTGTAGTTAACACCCCTCTATGGTCTCACACATGTACTTGTAGTTAACACCCCTCTATGGTCTCACACATGTACTTGTAGTTAACACCCCTCTATGGTCTCACACATGTACTTGACTTGTAGTTAACACCCCTCTATGGTCTCACACATGTACTTGACTTGTAGTTAACACCCCTCTATGGTCTCACACATGTTTTACTTGTAGTTAACACCCCTCTATGGTTTCAGACATGTTCTACTTATAGTTAACACCCCACTATGGTCTCACATATGTTCTACTTGTAGTTAACACCCCTCTATGGTCTCACACATGTACTTGACTTGTAGTTAACACCCCTCTATGGTCTCACACATGTTCTTCTTATAGTTAACACTCCTCTATGGTCTCAGACATGTTCTACTTATAGTTAACACCCCTCTATGGTCTCACATATGTTCTACTTGTAGTTAACACCCCTCTATGGTCTCAAAAATGTACTTATAGTTAACACCCCTCTATGGTCTCACACATGTTTTACTTGTAGGTAACACCCCTCTATGGTCTCACACATGTTCTACTTGTAAACACCCCTCTATGGTCTCACACATGTACTTGACTTGTAGTTAACCCCCCTCTATGGTCTCAAACATGTTCTACTTGTAGTTAACACCCCTCTTTGGTCTCACACATGTTTTACTTGTAGTTAATACCCCTCTATGGTCTCACACATGTTCTACTTATAGTTAACACCCCTCTATGGTGTCACACATGTACTTGACTTGTAGTTAACACCCCTCTATGGTCTCACACATGTTCTACTTGTTGTTAACACCCCTCTATGGTCTCAAACATGTTCTACTTGTAGTTAACACCCCTCTATGGTCTCACACATGTTCTACTTATAGTTAACAGCCCTCTATGGTCTCACACATGTTTTACTTGTAGTTAACACCCCTCTATGGTCTCAAACATGTTCTACTTATAGTTAACACCACTATATGGTCTCACACATGTTTTACTTGTAGTTAACACCCCTCTATGGTCTCACACATGTTCTACTTGTAAACACCCCTCTATGGTCTCACACATGTTCTACTTATAGTGAACACCCCTCTATGGTCTCACACATGTTCTACTTGTAGTTAACAGCCCTCTATGGGCTCACACAATTCCTTTTGTCCATGTGAGCCAATAAGCGAGGAAGATTCCGAAAGCATACCTTGTGAGGTCTTGTGAAGAATATGATTATCCATATGTACATTGGTAAAATGGCCAACCATAATGGAATGTCTGAAATAACAAAAAGTCAACTAAAATCTCATATTCAGCATCAAATTAGACCAATATTTTATTGCAAATATACCCAATCTTTCACTCAATTCTTATTTTCTATATCTGATATGTTAGTAGAGAAACTAAAACAGTTTTGTTGCTATATGATGTATATAAAACTTTGTTGCTATACGATGTATATAAAGTGTTTTTGCTATATGATGTATATAAAGCTTTGTTGCTATATGATGTATATAAATTGTTTTTGCTATACGATGTATATAAAGTGTTTTTGCTATATGATGTATATAAAGTTTTGTTGCTATATGATGTATATAAAGTTTTGTTGCTATATGATGTATATAAAGCTTTGTTGCTATAGGATGTATATAAAGCTTTGTTGCTATATGATGTATATAAAGTTTTGTTGCTATATGATGTATATAAAGCTGTGTTGCTATATGATGTATATAAAGTTTTGTTGCTATATGATGTATATACAGTTTTGTTGCTATATGATGTATATAAAGCTTTGTTGCTATATGATGTATATAAAGTTTTGTTGCTATATGATGTATATAAAGCTTTGTTGCTATATGATGTATATAAAGTTTTGTTGCTATATGATGTATATAAAGCTGTGTTGCTATATGATGTATATAAAGTTTTGTTGCTATATGATGTATATACAGTTTTGTTGCTATATGATGTATATAAAGCTTTGTTGCTATATGATGCATATAAAGTTTTGTTGCTATATGATGTATATAAAGCTTTGTTGCTATATGATGTATATAAAGCTTTGTTGCTATATGATGTATATAAAGTTTTGTTGCTATATGATGTCTATAAAGCTTTGTTGCTATATGATGTCTATAAAGCTTTGTTGCTATATGATGTATATAAAGCTTTGTTGCTATATGATGTCTATGAAGTTTTGTTGCTATATGATGTATATAAAGCTTTGTTGATATATGATGTATATAAAGTTTTGTTGATATATGATCTGTATCTTGATTAAATTTGGATTTTTTTTAAACTTACCTGTATTTTTTGTTTTCAGTAAACTTTTAACACACACCTGAAAGTACATAATATGCAGAATTTTAAATCATTTTCTGTTCAGAGATTTTACTCCATTTTAATGTTTTACAGACATATTTTTTTTCTTCACATTACAGTATGAAATGAAAAGATAGTTAAATATTAATGGTTTTCAATAGACATTAATTAATATGCTTTATTTATGTCTGGTGATGAAAGATAAGAGGCCCATGGGCCTAAACGGTCACCTGAGTCCTACAGTCTTTATTTTTGTCGTTGAAAAATGAACCATTTTGAGTACAAAATAGTTAAGTATAACGTTAACTTAAGTTTGTCAGGTCCATGAGCTGATAATTCCTGGACAGAGTTTCAGTTAAATCGGCCTATTAGAACCAGCAGAACTTGACTTTAAGTTTGAAATATTTTTTTTCAAAATGGCGACCGTGTCGGCCATATTGGATTTCTGATCGACCTGAAAAATAACAACACTTTGTCAGGACCATGAGTCGATCGTTCCTACAAAGTTTCAGTTCAATCGGCCCAGTAGAACTTGACTTTAAGTTTGAAATAGTTTTTCAAAATGGCGGCCGTGTCGGCCATATTGGATTTCTGATTGACCCGAAAAATAACAATACTTTGTTAGGACCATGTGTCGATCATTCCTACAAAGTTTCAGTTCAATCGGCACAGTAGAACTTGTCTTTAAGTTTGAAATAGTTTTTCAAAATGGCGGCAGTGGCGGCCATATTGGATTTCTGATTGACCCGAAAAATAACAACACTTGGTCAGGGAGATGTCAGTAACCTTCCCAGGAAATATTAATGAAGTCCCTTTGCCAGTATTTCAGCTTAAGTTGAAAATATAAAATGTTAACGGACGACGGACGAAGACGGATAGCAATAGGTCACTTGAGCTAAAGCTCAGGTGACCTAAAAATGCATAAAAATTGAAAGCAAATGCAAAGCTATGTTTAGCAGATGGAGCCTATTACAATTTCCTCTAATGCAGTTAGAAGAGATGAAAAACAAAGGCCCTTTTCCTTTATTTGTTTCAACCAGTTGAAACGATTAAACCAGAAAAAAAACGACAGGTGCAGATCTGAACCAAGGCTGACCTCAGGAATATTCGGCACATGTAGATTGAGGGCTCTGACAGAAACTAAAATGCTGACAATTGCTAGTTTGCATTATTTCTTTATAAAACAAGGTCAAGAAACATGTAGATTTTAAGATGCTTTATATAATTTAGTGGAAGCGTGAAAGAATGAGATAATATTCTTGATACATTGTTGTTTATTCTTTGAAACTGTGTATTTTTAGATCTGCCTGCAGTTTGGTCCTAGTGCATACGTTTATCGTGGAATTTCTGCGCCATCTGAACTGTTTCACTGGTATATGCGAATGTGACCCTAATGTCTACTAAGGTCTAAGGGAGGTAACTTAGCAAATGAATCCTTGGAGGTTATGTAGAATGTGTCGGACAAAGTTAATGTAAGTTTATTGAACCATTCTAACACAAAATCAGAGTGAACAAATATTGACTCCTATTTGAAAGACAAAATAAAGCAAAGACAAATATGATGTTGGTATCACTTACTGTTATTGGTAGACATGATAATGCTAAGATGAATACAATGTTGAAATTAAGGAATCCATTCAGAAAGTAGTATGAAAATGGTTCAACTCCTGAAAATAATCGTAAAAATATCATTAAGTAAAACTTTAATATATATATTTCAGAGCACACTATATATATTTAATACAGACAAACATTAATACAGGTCGACTGAAACAACACAGTCTGTCTGTGTAGTTATCTTGATAAAGACATTTTTGATGCATTAAATTATGAATACATGCAAATAACATTCTTAATACGTTCTGATATGGACCAAACTAGTGCTTTAACTTCTCATGTCTTGTATCTCCGAAGAGATATGTCCCCAAATGTTCTAGTCTACCAAGCTGTACATATTGGTACATGTATATATTTGAAAGTACCATAAATATAGCAGTTGCTTTACCCAGGAAATTTTGTTATCAATGCAATGTCACATTGTGGGATAGCCACTGTTGATAGAGTAACATACACATGTGTAGCTAAATCGACAGTGGGTATCCTGCGATGTTGATAGAGTAACATACACATGTGTAGCTAAATCAACTTTGGGTATCCTGCAATGTTGATAGAGTAACATACACATGTGTAGCTAAATCGACTGTGGGTATCCTGCGGTGGAAATGTCACGATGTAAAAAGAATGTGTAAAGTTGGTGATCTTACCGTACAGGTCTGGTCCATGACTAGTAAATACATTATACATGACAATGTTAAGCGGTGCTATCACCATCTTCTGGTAATATAGTGAGTCAATCTTCATCATTGGCAGCTGTCAACAGGAGAAAATGAGGTACATTTATATATGGAACAACACCACATAAATTAACACACAGTGACGCTACAAAAAAGATTCTATAGTAATGTGTTGTACTTACTAGGAACACAGCCAGGGATATAAGACTCCATATTATGAACTCTTTCACTTTACGTCGCCTCAAAAGTACATCTATGGCAATAGGAACACTGTAAGGGTAACCAAAGGAAAACTGTAAAATATAGCATTTCATCCTTAACCCTAGCTGACACCACCACTCACTATAGATCATCATTAACCCAAGCTGACACCACCACTCACTATAGATCATCATTAACCCTAGCTGACACCACCACTCACTATAGATCATCATTAACCCTAGCTGACACCACCACTCACTATAGATCATCATTAACCCTAGCTGACACCACCACTCACTATAGATCATCATTAACCCTAGCTGACACCACCACTCACTATAGATCATCATTAACCCTAGCTGACACCACCACTCACTATAGATCATCATTAACCCTAGCTGACACCACCACTCACTATAGATCATCATTAACCCTAGCTGACACCACCACTCACTATAGATCATCATTAACCCTAGCTGACACCACCACTCACTATAGATCATCATTAACCCTAGCTGACACCACCACTCACTATAGATCATCATTAACCCTAGCTGACACCACCACTCACTATAGATCATCATTAACCCTAGCTGACACCACCACTCACTATAGATCATCATTAACCCTAGCTGACACCACCACTCACTATAGATCATCATTAATCCTAGCTGACACCACCACTCACTATAGATCATCATTAACCCTAGCTGACACCACCACTCACTATAGATCATCATTAACCCTAGCTGACACCACCACTCACTATAGATCATCATTAACCCTAGCTGACACCACCACTCACTATAGATCATCATTAACCCTAGCTGACACCACCACTCACTATAGATCATCATTAACCCTAGCTGACACCACCACTCACTATAGATCATCATTAACCCTAGCTGACACCACCACTCACTATAGATCATCATTAACCCTAGCTGACACCACCACTCACTATAGATCATCATTAACCCTAGCTGACACCACCACTCACTATAGATCATCATTAACCCTAGCTGACACCACCACTCACTATAGATCATCATTAACCCTAGCTGACACCACCACTCACTATAGATCATCATTAACCCTAGCTGACACCACCACTCACTATAGATCATCATTAACCCTAGCTGACACCACCACTCACTATAGATCATCATTAACCCTAGCTGACACCACCACTCACTATAGATCATCATTAATCCTAGCTGACACCACCACTCACTATAGATCATCATTAACCCTAGCTGACACCACCACTCACTATAGATCATCATTAACCCTAGCTGACACCACCACTCACTATAGATCATCATTAACCCTAGCTGACACCACCACTCACTATAGATCATCATTAACCCTAGCTGACACCACCACTCACTATAGATCATCATTAACCCTAGCTGACACCACCACTCACTATAGATCATCATTAACCCTAGCTGACACCACCACTCACTATAGATCATCATTAACCCTAGCTGACACCACCACTCACTATAGATCATCATTAACCCTAGCTGACACCACCACTCACTATAGATCATCATTAACCCTAGCTGACACCACCACTCACTATAGATCATCATTAACCCTAGCTGACACCACCACTCACTATAGATCATCATTAACCCTAGCTGACACCACCACTCACTATAGATCATCATTAACCCTAGCTGACACCACCACTCACTATAGATCATCATTAACCCTAGCTGACACCACCACTCACTATAGATCATCATTAACCCTAGCTGACACCACCACTCACTATAGATCATCATTAACCCTAGCTGACACCACCACTCACTATAGATCATCATTAACCCTAGCTGACACCACCACTCACTATAGATCATCATTAACCCTAGCTGACACCACCACTCACTATAGATCATCATTAACCCTAGCTGACACCACCACTCACTATAGATCATCATTAACCCTAGCTGACACCACCACTCACTATAGATCATCATTAACCCTAGCTGACACCACCACTCACTATAGATCATCATTAACCCTAGCTGACACCACCACTCACTATAGATCATCATTAGCCCTAGCTCACACCACCACTCACTATAGATCATCATTCAGTTTTTTTTTCTGGGTTTTTTTTTAACGGCTTTCTTTGTTTTTATATTTTATTTGATATAACTGCAGTTGGGCTGGGCAAGGGAGCAACTGCTGATCAAGCAGCTCAATTAGTTAGAGCAACCATATTGTGATCAGAGGTCCAGCATTTGAATCCCTGCCTGGCTCCATTGCGTTAAGTTTCACCATCAGAACACCATTGTTGATATATATTTTTTTATTTATTTCATCTGTATCCTTTTTCATAAAAATTCTGCAAGGAAAGAGTTTTTTTCAGAAATAATTTATCAAAAGTTATGTGATGCTATACAGGTTAATATCTTTCAAATTCATAGTACAAGATTATTGCAGTGGAAAGATAAATATTAGAAATATTCACATGAATAGAACTTACCCAAGAATTCCAGCAAATGGCCAACCAAGTATGGCACTGGCTGCTGTTCCTAAAATGGCCACCTTAAATGTCCATATTATAAAAAAAAAACATTTAGAAAATAACTCAATTCCTTTGAACCATACGTTGTGAATGTTATTTTACAATTTAAAATTATCATGAATAACATGCTTGTTTCCTGTTACATGTCTGAAAAAATTAGGATAGATATAGGTAGGTAAGAAATTTTATTTTATTCAAACTGTTTTTTAATAGGTTTGAATAGGAGAGTGATCTTGACCTGAACACTGCTTTTTTGAAATTGGCAAAAAAATTAGGGTAGGCACAAAAAATAAGGATAGGTAGGGTATCCGAAACAAACAACATTTTTAGTATAACACATTCTTGCACACTAGACTGAGATATCTGCATTTCCGGCAGTGCTGGAAAATTCTATCCAACCCATAGGTCTAGATTGCTTACATGTGCAGACTGGTGAGAGAATTATAGTGACCTTTTGGGGTCACGCTATTGTTCGTGACTTCATTTTATGACGTTTTGGGATCAGTCAGGGTCATTGACGTCATTAACAATTTCCATCCGTGCTGCATATGCAAATGAGAAATGCACGGACAGTTTACAACTTTACTAGAAGAGCAGTATTTATGAGTTTTAGGTAATAAGCAAGAAATAGAATATATCCCTGATGTGAGGAAAGGATAAGGTAATTCAAACACTGGAATAAAATATTGAGCAGAAGACCCTTGGTAAAGCCTCAGGTCTCCTGCTAAATATTGTATACCCTTGGGTTAGAATAACCTTATCCTTACCTCACATCAGGGATGGCTTCTATTATTCTCGCAGCTCAGACAGGGATATCCCAAGAAATATCCTGTGCTGGAATTTTCTATCTTGTCTGATCTATCTGGCACCTTTACACAACATTTCTCGGAATTTTCTCAAGCCAATGTATTCATCTCAGCACTAATGGCATACCTGCCAACCCTGGCTATACTGAAAGAGGGTGATGACCTATTAACATGTACATACCTGCCAACCCTGGCTATACTGAAAGAGGGTGATGACCTATTAACATGTACATACCTGCCAACCCCGGATATACTGAAAGAGGGTGATGTCCTATTAACATGTACGTACCTGCCAATCCCGGATATACTGAAAGAGGGTGATGACCTATTAACATGTACATACCTGCCAACCCTGGCTATACTGAAAGAGGGTGATGTCCTATTAACATGTACATACCTGCCAACCCCGGATATACTGAAAAAGGGTTATGACCCTCTTTTGAAAATTAAAAAGAGGGTCATAGTGCGCGACGGCTTTTTCTAGTAATGCAAGTGATCAACTCGTACATTTTTTTATTCTGTTTTGTTGTAATATGTGTAAAAAAAGTATAAAATAAAATATACATTGTGAAATGTTTTCTTCCTTGTAAAGACGGACTACATGTACATTGTTTAAGCAGAAGCATTCAAACATATCTAGCTTTAGTCGTTATAACAGGCCATATTGATTTGAGGCCCCTTGGGTGGGATACTTTTAGACTACAGCAAAATTGGGAAGTTTTTTTACCTTAAAGGTGCCAGAAAAAGAAAAAATACCTGTAAATGAGCGCCCTGGTGTCCTATAAAATATTCATCCCCATAAGATACCTATCCGGATGAGTATTTTATGCATAAAATACTCCTCCGGGTGAACATTTTATGCATAAAATACTCCTCCCCCCCATTAAATATTCATCCCCCCTAAATTTTATCAAAACGTTTTACATAAATACAAAATTTACAACATTATTACATCATGTTACCTATAATACATGATTACGATATGTCTGTCCAGGTAATACACATAGGGTGTCACCTTTGTGGGGACTTGGGCCCTGGGGCCCATTCAATACAGGGGAGAGCAAGGTGACAGATGAGCAGCATACAGGTGTGGCCTTTACCCAGAAAAAACAGCCTTATAATAACTAAGTCATATGTAGGATGAATAAAACAAATAAATACTTATACTGTACTGAAGTTTAAAACCATTTAAATTTATCTTTTTGATTATCAACAAAGTCAAAAGGTGAGAATAATGCAATTGGCATTGTTGCTTCTATACTGTATTCTGAAAAGAGATGTTTTGTTTTATTTTTCTTGATATTACAGTTTATTTAAATTTCTGAATGTATAATAAATCACTCCTTCCCCAAACAACAAAAATGATAATAAACCATCGGACTAAGACTTTTATTTTATGGGGGTGAATAGGTACATGTATCTTATGACAATAGTTTAGGGTTGATGGTTATTTTATGGGGTGGATAGGTATTTAATGGCTATGGTATAGGGTAGATGGTTACATAACCATAACCATCTCCCCTATACTATAGCCATTAAATACCTATCCACCCCCGCTAAATAACTATCTACCCTATACTATAACCATTAAATACCTATCCACCCCCACTAAATAACTATCTACTCTATACTATAACCATTAAATACCTATCAACTCCCATTACATAACCATCTCCCCTATACTATAGCCATTAAATACCTATCCACCCCCACTAAATAACTATCGACCCTATACTATAACCATTAAATACCTATCCACCCCCACTAAATAACTATCGACCCTATACTATAACCATTAAATACCTATCCACTCCCACTACATAACCGTCTACCCTATACTATAGATATTAAATACCTATCCCCCCCCACTAAATAACTATCTACCCTATACTATAACCATTAAATCCCTATCCACTCCCACTACATAACCGTCTACCCTATACTATAGATATTAAATACCTATCCCCCCCCACTAAATAACTATCTACCCTATACTATAACCATTAAATACCTATCCACTCCCACTACATAACCGTCTTCCCTATACTATAGATATTAAATACCTATCCACCCCCACTAAATAACTATCTACCCTATACTATAACCATTAAATACCTATCCACCCCCACTAAATAACTATCTACCCTATACTATAACCATTAAATCCCTATCCACTCCCACTACATAACCGTCTACCCTATACTATAGATATTAAATACCTATCCACCCCCACTAAATAACTATCTACCCTCTACTATAACCATTAAAGACCTATCCACTCCCATTACATAACCATCTACCCTCTATACTATAGCCATTAAATACCTATCCACCCCCACTAAATAACTATCTACCCTATACTATAGCCATTAAATACCTATCCACCCCCACTAAATAACTATCTACCCTATACTATAGCCATTAAATACCTATCCCCCCCCACTAAATAACTATCTACCCTATACTATAACCATTAAATACCTATCCACTCCCACTACATAACCGTCTACCCTATACTATAGATATTAAATACCTATCCACCCCCACTAAATAACTATCTACCCTATACTATAGCCATTAAATAATTACATAACCATCTACCCTCTATACTATAGCCATTAAATAATTACATAACCATCTACCCTCTATACTATAGCCATTAAATCCCTATCCCCCCCCACTACGTACCCATCTACCCTATACTATAACTAATAAATACCTATCCACTCCCTCTACGTAACCATCTACCCTATACTACAGCCATGAAATACCTATCCACTCCCACTACATAACCATCTACCCTATACTATAGCCATTAAATACCTATCCACCCTATACTACAGCCATGAAATACCTATCCACCCCCACTAAATAACTAGCTACCCTATACTATAACCATTAAATACATATCCATTCCCATTACATAACCATCTACCCTATACTACAGCCATGAAATACCTATCCGCTCCCACTACATAACCATCTACCCTATACTATAGCCATTAATTACCTATCCACCCCCACTAAATAACTAGCTACCCTATACTATAACCATTAAATCCCTATCCATTCCCATTACATAACCATCTCCCCTATACTATAGCCATTAAATACCTATCAACCCCCACTAAATAACCATCTACACTATACTATAACCATTAAATACCTATCCACTCCCACTACATAACCATCTACCCTATACTATAGCCATTAATTACCTATCCACCCCCACTAAATAACTAGCTACCCTATACTATAACCATTAAATCCCTATCCATTCCCATTACATAACCATCTACCCTATGCTATAACCATTAAATACCTATCAACTCCCATTAGATAACCATCTATCCTATACTATAGCCATTAAATACCTATCCCCCCCCACTAAATAACTATCTCCCCTATACTATAACCATTAAATACCTAGCCATTCCCATTACATAACCATCTACCCTATACTATAACCATTACATACCTAGCCACTCCCATTACGTAACCATCTACCCTATACTATAACCATTACATACCTATCCACTCCCATTACGTACCCATCTACCCTATACTATAGCCATTAATTACCTATCCACCCCCACTAAATAACTAGCTACCCTATACTATAACCATTAAATTCCTATCAACTCCCATTAGATAACCATCTACCCTATACTATAGCTATTAAATACCTATCCACCCCCACTACGTAACCATCTACCCTATCCTACAGCCATGAAATACCTATCCACTCCCACTACATAACCGTCTACCCTATACTATAGATATTAAATACCTATCCACCCCCACTAAATAACCATCTACCCTATACTATAACCATTAAATACCTATCCATTCCCATTACATAACCATCTACCCTATACTATAGCCATTAAATACCTATCCACCCCCACTAAATAACTATCTACCCTATACTATAACCATTAAATACTTATCCACCCCACTAAATAACTATCTACCCTATACTATAACCATTAAATATCTATCCACTCCCATTACATAACCATCTACCCTATACTATAGCCATTAAATACCTATCCACTCCCACTACGTAACCATCTACCCTATACTACAGCCATGAAATACCTATCCGCTCCCACTACATAACCATCTACCCTATACTATAGCCATTAAATACCTATCCACACCCATTAAATAACCATCTACCCTATACTATAGCCATTAAATACCTATACACTCCCATTAAATAACCATCTACCCTATACGTTAATACCTATGTACCCTATACCAGGGGTGGATCCAGAATTTTTCATGGGTTGTCACCATTCCAGATTTTCAGTTAATTCTTATTTATTTTTATTTTATTTTTTTTCTTGGTTATTCTTGGTAAGATGTCCCAGTGAAATGAGAAATCAATATATATATATATATATATAGATAGATAACTATAATTTTGGCTATTTATTTATTTCAATTTATCTTGAAACTGTGATGTTCATTGTCCTTCTTGCAAATGCTTTAAAGAATATTTTTTTTAAGATGGTCAAAACTGCAACACATTTAATTAATGCTGGGATGTGATATCAATTAGTGTCAACTATATATTCAACAATCACATTTAGACCAGTTGAAAGGGGAAGGGGCGACAGCTTTGGCAGTGTAATACACAACTAGGATCACCAGTCAAAACATACTTAATTCAGGTAAGCTTGTTACGATTTTATAAACCATAAAATGTTGATGTGCACATTGAGCCCTAAGTTTAATACATGTACAGTATGCACACAAAACAGAGCTTGGGGATGTCAAACTATAGATGCAGTATATGTATACTTTTTTTTTTAAGTCAAGGGCAGGGGGGTGTCAAGTGTGCTGGTAACACACACACACACACACCCCAGCCCCCCTTGGATCTGCCTCTGTATACTGTAGTCTTTCACCATGTAAATCTGTCCACCCCCATATATTTATACCTATTAACTCCAAAAAATACCTATTTACCCCAATAATGTACCTATGTTTTCTTTAGTCATAAAATATGTTTTCATCCCATTAAAGACCTGTTTATCCTCTACCGATAGCTTGATTCAATTAACATGTGCTCAACTTACTCCAGATACATACACCATACACCACCTAAACTGACTTAAATACAAAATTATTCCTAACATAGAAACATTTATAAGTATTCTTTATAAAACAATACTATAAAAAATATTAACAGGTTAAAGCAGATTTTTTGTCATATATAAATTCAATTCTAGCTGTAACCATGACATACAATTTACTGCTTTACATTATATGTTTTAGATTGCAATGTTAAAATTAATTCATAAAATAGAATAAATTGAAAAAAGAAATTAGTTTCATTATATGTAAATGACAGGTTCATTTTAAACCTGATGAACACTTTATATAGCTGTCAATGAGTTATCAGTATAGCACTTGTAGTCAGCTGCTGCAGGGCCCCAGTCCCCACAAAGGTGACACCCTATAGTGTGTATTACCTGGACAGACATACATGTATAGTAATCAGGTATTACGGGTAACATGATGTAATAATGTTGTAAATTTTGTATTTATGTAAAAAGTTTTGATAAAATTTAGGGGGGATGAATATTTAATGGGGGGGGGATGAGTATTTCACGCATAAAATATTCATCTGGATGAGTATTTTATGGGGGATGAAAATTTTATATGACACCGGTTATCTCAGTTTTGGGCTAAGATTCTGTAACATCCCAATTTGGCTTAATTAAAGCCTCGGTTGTGATTATGTTACAGAATAATAGTCCTCAACTGAGCTAACTAGATCTTACTCAGTTATAGGTAATATATTTTATCAACCATGAATACTTTGTATATCAGACAGTGTTACTCTTATTTCTGCTATATATCAAACACTGAATCATTTTCAAGATGTCTTAATTATGTTTAAAATAAAAATAGAATTAAAAGAGGAATGTTAAGGCAGGTGTTTACTTACACTGTAGTGCCTGAGGAACCAGCCTCCCATTGACACAAAAGTAAGGTACATACAAAAACTACTGGGAAGGAAGGCAGAGCTTGATATAAACATTCCTGTACTGAGCAATAACAGGAACAGCATGATCCGCCCAGTGTTCGCTCCAAAATGTTTACATACTCCCCTGTAAAACACAGCAAGGACATACAATCAATCTGATATATTGCCAACACAACACTTCTAATAACCCTTTTTTTGTCAGTATTGCGTTCCTGTTTTTGGCGCAGTATATATTGGCCTCATTCTGTCTATCCACCTGTCAACTATTGCAAAACGATTCAATATGCCAGTGTATTGCGATATGCCAGTTTACCTATATATTGTGACAGCCTTTCAGAAAATCATGTCTCTTTTAAAAACACCCAACATTGCCTGTCACTTTACCTGTAAAAATAGATTTCACATCCTGCACAGCACAATGCCAGTAAACACCTTAGCAGGTAAAACAGAAGTATCTGTAAACAAAATATATAAATTCTCTTAAAACCTGTTGAAGAGATGACAGGGATTAGTCATTTTTTTATTTTCAGTCAAATTCATTAATTATATCATTATGTTTTTCAGCAGTACAAGATTTTTTTTCAAGATATACATATAAAAACTTATTTATTTACTCAGAGCCATGGACAAGTGTTATACCTTGTTTGCCTGGAAAAGGCTATTATAGAGTCGTATAGGTAGGGCATGGATCCACAAGTAGGCGTAGGACCTGATGGCATACACAGGCGAGTACTCCCAGGTCTGAAACCCCGATCCGTAGATCAGGAAATGTACCTGTAAACATACACAGGGGAGATAAGTTAGATAACTCTCATGTCTTTAATCCCTATCTGAAGATCAGGTTACGTACCTGTAAACATACACAGGGGAGATAAGTTAGATAAATCTCATGTCTTTAATCCCTATCTGAAGAGCAGGTTACGTACCTGTAAACATACACAGGGGAGATAAGTTAGATAAATCTCATGTCGTTAATCCCTATCTGAAGATCAGGTTACGTACCTGTAAACATACACAGGGGAGATAAGTTAGATAACTCTCTTGTCTTTAAACCCTAGGTAGCAGTGTACAGTAAAAATGGATTGATCCTAAAAACTAGAACACTGACAGGTCAGTAAGGGCCCCGTCTTGTGCCAATTACGTACATAATTCCCCCATAATCATCAAGAAGCAATCTGCCCATATAGCTGAGCTTGACGTTTGACATTTGGACCTCAAAAAGAATCGCAAGGAAGCAAAATATACATTTTACATGTACTATGATGCGAGTCTTGTTTCCTTCCACCTCCATATTTGCTGGGCTAACAGAAATGTAAATACCGGTGCAATACTCATGTGTTAGCTTTGATTTGTTTTATTTCACCTTATATACCTCCTCCATCAAGAGCCAGGGTCAAAGTCAGAGATCCACTTTGTCTTTGACCTTTGGACCCAAATGACCTTGACCATTAACCCAGTGACCCTGATCTTTGGTCAGTTGACTTATTCTTTAATTCTGACCAACTTTGCTTCTTAATATCATAACAAAATGTTCATCAGTGAAAAATACAAAACTTGACCTTGACCCTTTGGACCCCGTAACCTGGACCTAAGGTCAGTTGACTCTGTGTTAAGTTCTTAACAACATTGCTTCATAATGTCATAACAAAATGTTCATCAGGGAAAAGGTACAAAATTGAACCTTCACCTTTGACCAAGTGATCTTGACCTTTGGTCAATTGACTCCTTGTTTAATCCTGAGCAACATTGCTTCAAAGTGTCATAGCGAAATGTTCACCAGTGAAAAGATACAAAATTTAACCTTGACCTTTGACCCAATGACCTTAACCTTTAGTCAGTTGACTCCTTGTTTAATTCTGATCAACTTTGCTTCATCATGTCATAACAAAATGTTCATCAGTGAAAAGATGCAAAATTTGACCTTGACCTTTGAATCTAATGACCTTGACCCTCGACTTTTTACCTCAGTGTGTCTCTTTGTTTAATTCCGAACAACTTTGCTTCATAATGTCATAGCAAAATGTTCCCCCGTGAAAAGCTACAAAATTTGACCTTGACCCCTGACCTGATGACCTTGACCTTTGGTCAGTTGACTCCTTGTTTGATTCTGATCAACTTTGCTTCATAATGTCATAACAAAATGTTCATCAGTGAAAAGATGTAAAATTTGACCTTGACCTTTGAATCTAATAACCTTGACCTTTGGTCTTGATTTTTTACCTCAATGTGTATTTTTGTGAACTGAACATCTTGACCAAGTTCCATGTACATCGGTCAATAAATATCAAAGTTATCAGCCAGGAACAAAATTTGTGGACGGACAGACAGACAGACAGACAGAGGGACAGACAGAGTGATTACTATAGGGCACCCGTATCTCTGATACGGGGCCCTAATAAAGGGCATGTCTCAGATAAACATGGATAGTGAATTCAACCTGCACAACACTTACATATATATACATATTCATAAATTATGTTTTGATAACATTTTATTTAGAAGATTGATTTTTGTTTAAAAACTGTTTCCCCAGATTTGGGACTTGTGAAAACCATGGTTACCACATCAAAAAACATGATTTTTAACCAATTATTTGACCCCAAAAGTAGTATTTTTTCTTCTTGAAACCTGTCTGAAATTTCATATCGCCTACTATGTAACAGAAATACTCACGTTTTAGCACAGGTCATTCCGATGGATTTTATTACAATATTTATACATTTGCTGAGCACAAAAATAGACTACATGAAAAGCTAGCTTTTGTTGTGTAGACACAGGTTTGTAAATGCCCAAAACTGTAGTCTCAAACCAAATTTGAATTGGTTTTTTTAAAAATTTATGAAGCCCACATAGTCCACCTCATCATGTATATGCCAATTTTTGTGCTGATTTTTTTTTTGATACATGTAATATTACAGGGGTCATTGTGGCATTGGTATTTTCTATTTCTCACTAGAAATAACTTCCATGACTGTTACTTAAAGCAAAGAAATTATATTTCCAAAGGTTTCCAGGTATGTGATGAAGGTGACAGACTACAGAACTAGTCATAAACATTTCACTGGTTGTGCTATATGAACTTGCAAAAGTCTATATTTACAGAGGCCATTATTTTTCTAATGAATAGCCAATGTCTACATTTCAAATAAAAACAATGTACAATTTTTTTAGTAAACTTTCACGTGTAACAATCAGATTAAATCTCCAGACTGAGATTTATTCAGGAAGAGTACTGGAGTATACAACATCATACAAAATGGCAGCGTTCTAATCTCACATGTGCTTTTGCAGTCACTATTAATAGAGCCAATAAGGTGAACTATGTCCAGAATTCATATATCATTACATGTTTTCTTTAGTTACTGCTAGTATTTTGTGTGTAGAAGATTAAACTTACAGGTTCCCAGTAGTTGAAAGTTTCATCACAGTCACCAACAATGTTCCATACTGCTGCACACAACCGTGCTGACAAGACAATCTTGAAAGCTGTGTATGCCGAGGGGGTCCAAGGCTGCTGCTGGTCTGGGGAGCCACTAGCAGGCACCTGTACATCACTTCTGTAACGGTAAAATTTGAATAATCTTATACTTTTTTTATATTATCAATTCATTGCAGAATGGTAAAGTTAGGGAACATTAATTCATTAATGTTTAGACATCAATATATACAATCATTATCATAATAACAAATACTGGCGCCTGTTCATATTTGTGCGCAAACAAAATACAAGATACAAGAGACGTCAGTGCATGGGTAACATCAAATGGTCGCTCTGTAGAGCAAACAACAAACAACGTAAACAACAGTAACATCATGTATCACAGCCGGCAGATTTAAATAGCACATGTTGACAACAAACAAAGTAAACAACAGTAACATCATGTATCACAGTAGGCAGATTATTTAAATAGCACATGTTGACAACAAACAAAGTAAACAAAATTTATCACATAACATCATAACATTCATTTCAGTCAAATCTTCTTCTGTACTGGTGCTCGTCGGCATTTTGATACATGCGTTTTTGGACGAATAATTAACCGAAACCCTTACTAATGTAACGAATTTGCCTTCACTAACGTTAAAGAGAAATTAGCATAATAGAATAATTAACCAGTGTGTCTATTTTTATAGCGGGCACTCTTGGGCGATCGAGAAGTGATCGGCCGAGCAGTGTGAGCCGTTATAGCAACACATGTACAGAAAGTACGGGAAAATGAGAGTGAATTGGTTCTATGCTATATGAAGGCTTCAAAAACCTTTCGTCCTTTCGGTCATACAGGCTCGCATAAAACGGCAACATGCATTGCTCCGTGACTGCATTGATGTTCTCTTTGTACACAAACAATTAATTTGACATTTTCAATGAACACCTTTTATTTTTGTTGTATCTCTGGCACATTTTTATGTTTAGAAACAATTCTACATTTTTTTACAAGTCGATGTTACTGATGAAATCCTTCGATGTCCTACATATTATTTTGATATTTTCATTTTTCTCAAACTGAAAATTGTTTCAATGTAGTACTTGCGTTTGGTTATTTGTCCTTAGCTTCAAAATGACATCAGTTGTTAGTGATAAGTCTGTATATATATACCAGTGTAAAAGGATCAGGTTTTTTCACTTCAAAACCAACACCCAGGTTCGGTGATCTTGGGTCCGTCAGGGTACAGTCTGATATGATTGAAGTTTGGCAAATAAACACAGACACAGAAATATAAAATTCAGGTAGTTTATTAATGACATGGAAACATCTACGCACCGGGACATGAGTTTAGACCACGCGGTCACACACTCGAGCACACACACACATCAATAACATGGCTTTATTTCCAAGTGGTACAGGGCCTTACTGACTATATATACAGACAGCTACACGGCCATATGCCTATTGAATAGTCAACGACATAGTTCAAAACATGACTCTAAAATTCCTACAAAAATACCACACGACTACAGAGAAACTACTGCTAGTACTGTGGCTGGTAAACTAACATTATCCTATTGTGGGTTAGAGACCCTATACCTACAGCTACTCCTACAGTAGAAAAGAGGTGAGCCGAACCAGTCCTGTCAAGACTTTTATTCTGACAGCTGAAGTACACAGGTGTGCCGGCTTAAATAGGCAAAAACACGGCACTTTGCACATGCAATAGTCGCGCTAAATTACTCAAAACATTTAACACAATATGATTTATTATAAAAAAGGTGCATTTTGTGGGCCATTTGCTTCTTCACCTTACCAAATTATTTTGGAGAAGAATATGCAGTAAATTTTCTTACAGTGTACGTAATGTATGTTAGTTATTATGGTTCTGGAGATCCAGGGCCTGGCTCCGTTTTGTGTGTTACACGTATGTGGTGCTCTTCCGTTTTCCGCCATTAAACGTTCGATCTCTCACCGTGGTTGTGTGTGTTCTTCTTTACTGGCGTGGTGGCAGCGATGGGATTGGCTGATTCAGAAGGAGATGAGGTATTACAGACAGAAACTCTTATCAACCGCGTACGTATCCCCCAATCCCCGTACTTGGACGTGTTTCAAGGTCATATGCCCTTACGCCTCACCATCGACAGTGGGGCCACTGGAAACATGATTCATGCATCATGTGCAGTAAGATTGGGTGTCAAAATTGCCCACAGCAATCAAGCCGATGGGTAATTGCCTTTGAACGTCATAGGCGAAACACGTATGGTGGTGTCCTGTGACAACCACGACTTATATTTCGAAGGACCTGTTGTGGAAAATCTAGACACTGATGTTCTTGCCGGTATCCCTTTCATGGAATGCAATGATATATCCATATGTCCAGCAAAACGCCAAGTATTACTTGGGGATGATACTCTGTATGAGTACGGATCCACAGAGACTTAACTATGGACAGACATGCAGTGAGGAGGGCCCATGTTCTACGTGCCCCTGCCCTCACCACACCTGTGGCCAGGAGATTATATTGAAGTAGCCCTGCCAGCTGACCTCGCCACATTGGATGGTGAGATTAGCATAGAACCACGTGCACATGACTCATCGCCTCTCGCTGCTCCCTCAGTCCTCACTAGTGTTGCAGGGAAAATCAGGATACCAAATTGCACTGGAGAACCACATACCTTGAAAGGAAATGAACATTTCTGCAAGGTAAGAGCCACGACTTACACAGAGGATATCACAGTTACCCCTACCACGCACACTGAACCCCATAAGGCCAAAACTACCAACCTGTCTCACTAGTGATAGGGTCAACCTCGACCCCGATGGACTCATGCCGACCAATATCAAGTCTGAGTTCCAGAGTCTACTATCAGAGTTTGGCGAAGTGTTCAACCCAGCATTCACAGGTCAGGGTTCGAATTTAACCAGATTTTCTACTTGCATTTTTTCGCAGGTGGTATTTTTTCTTACTTGCTAAATGAGAAAACAACTTGCAATTTGCATTTTTCCAACTTTATTAGACATGTTAACTTAGAATTAAATTCTAAAACAACACAGTATTAACTGACATTTTAAATTATGGTCATTGGGATGTATACATGACGCAAACCTTGCTGTGAAAGGATGCTGGCCTGCTCAGGCTATTCTAAGATATAGCATAAAAACTGCATCTTAGTTTCTTGCTCCATATGGTAGAGTATTTGGTCTTTTCTGTCTTTGTCCCGACAACCACCATCTTGTCGCAGCAGGTTTTGGCTCATACTCTCTAAGGGCAATATCAGCAACTTGTCCATTTGTTATTTTGCCGGTGCAGTGAGCTGTGAAATTTAACCTTGGGAAACCCCAATACAACCACGTGACTAGTCAAGCCTATCGTATTTGCGCTATAAATAGTAACTAAAAATAGATTACCGAAAAACATCATGCATGCGGTAAACGTCATCATTATTTGTGCAAGTACTTCCTAACGGACATGCGCACGGGATATTTGTGCAGGTACTTCCTAACGGACATGCGCACGGGACATGTATCGATTGTAAACTTCCGTTAATGACAAAAGCTGAATCATTCATTTGGCGAATGACAAGAATGCGCTCAAATGACCGCGAGTTGTCAAAGAAAGAATTTGTAAAGACCGACCATTAGAAATGAGGATTATTCAGCCCAAAATTTTCACTCGCAAAAAAATGCTGGTGTCTGAAATCTCTACTCGCAGTTTGCAATTTGCACTCGCTTTTCACGAGTAAGCGAGCTTAAATTCGTACCCTGCAGGTTACAATGGCGCTGTAGGTCACTTCAAAGCCAACGTTAACATGGATCCAGTTCAACCCCCTCAGCTCAAAGGCAGCTTACCTCAATATTCGAGGAACCAACTTTCAGAGCTCCAAGCCAGATTTGATGAACTTGAGTCTGTAGGTGTGTTTCGTCGACCAGAGGACATTGGCATATCTGTCGAATACGTAAACCCATCATTCCTTGTCAAAAAGCCTAACGGAAGTTTTCGATTAGTCACAGCATTTGCTGACGTAGGGCGATACAGTAAGCCCCAGCCATCGCTGATGCCTGATGTAGACTCAACCCTCCTTCAAGTTGCCCAGTGGAAGTATCTGATTGCCACTGACCTCACAAAGGCTTTTTATCAGATTCCCCTTGCTAAGGAATCCATGAAGTACTGCAGTATTGTAACCCCCTTCAAAGGCACCTGAGTGTATGCCCGTACCGCGATGGATATGCCAGGCTCAGAAACTGCGCTAGAGGAATTAACTTGCCGTATCCTCGGAGACCTGGTAGAAGCTGGATGCATAGCGAAACTTGTACTGCAGTGGCCAGACTTTTGAAGAACTACTACAAAATTTTAAATGCGTCCTTCAGGTCTTACAGAAATATAGCTTGAACCTCTCCGCTCCAAAGACAGTTATCTCCCCAAAGGAAACTACCATATTTTAGTGGATATGGCGACTAGGTACAATCAGCGCCGCAACACTTTCCTCTTGCCCCCCACCAAACACTGTTTACGGTTTACGTGTGTTCATCAGAGCATACAAAGTACTTGCGAGAGTCATGCAAGGCTGTTCCTCACTCCTCTCTCTGCTTGATATTGTTGTCGCAGGTGGATGCGAATCAAAGGAGACCATCCAATGGACCTCCTCCATGACTTTACAAATGCCCAGAAGGCGTTATCTTCTAACCGCACCATCACTCTCCTCACGTCTACTGACCAACTATGGACAGTGACAGACGGTGCAGTCAGAGACCCTGGACTAGGAGCAACGCTGTACGTCACTCGTAACAACAAAGTCTGTCTTGCAGGCTATTTCAGTGCCAAACTGCGTAAGAACCAGACCAATTAGATTCCGTGTGAAATCGAGGCTCTGTCCATCACGTCCGCCATAAAACATTTCAGTCCATACATCATCCAGTCAACTACAAAGGCTTGTGTGTTAACTGACAGCAAACCATGTGAGAAATTATGCAGAGGAGAATTTTCTGCTAGCCCTCGAACCTCGACATTCCTGTCCACAGCGAGCCACTTCCAAGTGTCGCTACGACATGTGTCAGGCTCTGCTATACTTCCATCGGACCTCGTGAGCCGCACACCCCCATGTGTAATGAGCCTACATGTCAAATTTGTTCATTCGTCAATACGTTTGTCGCTAGCGTTGTGCGTCAAGTGTCCGTCGATGATATCCTAGCAGGATCGTCCAAGTTGTTGTACACCAGTCGGTCTGCATGGTTGTCTTTACAATCGGATTGTTCAGACCTTCGTAGAACACACGCGCATCTGTGTCAGGGCACCCGGCCCTCCAAGAAACAAATTACGGTCAAGGATGTCAAACGTTATCTAAACGTTGCTTCTCTTTCTGGGGACGGCCTCCTTGTCGTCAAACGTGATGCACTGTTTGCCAGTTCAACTGACTGCATTATTATTCCCAGACAGGTCCTCGATGGTCTATTGACAGCCTTACATTTAAAACTTGACCATCCTTCAAACCACCAGCTCAGGTGCACCGTCCAACGCCATTTTTACACACTTGACCTAGAGTCCGCAATCAAATGCACCACCGATGGTTGCCACCAGTGTGCCGCCCTGTGCAACGCACCTACGTTTCTTCAGGAACAAAGCTGTGGGGATCCGCCAGCCTCAGTGGGTACCCAGTTTGCTGCGGATGTTACCAATCAAAAGAAACAGAATTCACAAAGTACAGAAGAAGAATAATAAGAATAAGAATAAGAAACATAACAAAAACAATAGGTCTTTTCACCAGTTGGTGAATAATAGAAAAACAATTTAATTCATACGATGTACAGATATAAGCTATACGCCGTGCCACATAAGTGCACGTAGGGTAGCTACATTGTATAGGGCTTCACATTAGATTATATTGCTATATAAACATTGATATCCCTTCAATCAGCTGTGTCAAGAATAATACTATTGTATTTATTGAACAATTTATATTTTAACTGTAACCGATTAAGAATGCATATACATATAAAATATATTATTTTATTATAGATAATTTAGTGGGAGGGGGATGGGAATGCATAATTTTCGAGTTTCTCAGGACTTTTTGAGAAAGATGGTGGCTTATCAGTGTCGACATTGCAGTGATGTCATTTCCCGCAACCTGCAGGAAAACTTTGGAGACATCGGTGTCCATAAACTTCTTGAATATGTCACTATGTATGAGGACAGAGTGTACTATTTCTGACAACATAAGTATAATATAATTTAGTGTAGTCTTCATTTAAACTTATAGGTACTTAGGGATTTTTTTTAAGCACCAACATTAAATCGATCAGTCACACCACGGACTTAGATAATTAATTCCGTGGTCACACGAACATATAACGGACCCTGAGTAGAACCACGGCCACGTCCGTAGGGTCTGGTAACATGCTCGTTTCAAGAGTGTGGCTGAGAGTTCTACAATATATAATCCAGTCTAACTGTGTTCACCTATGCGAAGCCCTACCCTACTTACACATATATGTGACACGGCGTATAGCTTCGTAAAATCGTAAAATTAAATTCACGATAACTCAATCATTTTTTAACAAATCTACCTGAAGCTTGTTGGTACAAAGGTGTATCATAGTTATATGAATAACATATCTTCTGATGTCGCTTACATTATAGGTTAATATTCGAGATATTGTCTGAAGACGCTTTAAGATCTGTACTCAGTGTTCTATTCACACACGTATGCCACGCAACCGATCGTAATAATAAATTAATCATAACTCGATCATGTTTTCAAATATCGAGCTGAAATTTGGAATATATATCAAAAATTAAGTCTAACTAATAACATATCTTCTGATGTCACTTACTTTAGTGCGTAAGTGTAACGATATTATCTGGCGACACTTTCTACACTTTTCAAGCTAATACACACATGTGCCATGCTGCAATCGTAAAAATTCAACTCACCATAACGCAGTCAATTTTTCAAATATCAAATTGAAATTTGGTACAGAGGTGTATTATTGTCATATTCATAACATATCTTCTAATGTCGCTTACTTTATTCAGTATTTTTGAAGATTGTGTCTGGCGACGCTTGTTGTCACTTGAAGACGCTTTTTGTCGGTTGAAGACGCTTTTAAGTGAAACCATTTTGTATGTATTAAAATGGGTAATGTTATGATTCAAAAATCATACTATACTATTGAAAAAAGCTGCGCTCTCTCCAGGCCATGCCTGAGTCATATTACGGGTCACAACACACATAAACATACACACCGGTATCAGTATAGCATATGTGTATTTCAAGACATTTGTAACGTGACCCAGCTGTGGTCCAACAGTTTAGAACGCGAAAAACGAAAGCGGTCCAAATTAACGGTATTGTTTTAATCCAGATAAATCTTAGTATATCCTACCTTTGCAAACCAATACATTTACATCTCAGACTTATATATAATAGAACACTCACCTGATTGCATCGGGAACAACTTTATCTGTTTTCGAGTTTTTTCTCCTCTGTTTTGTAGAGGCTGACATCTTGCTGCTCCGCAGCCGCGCACCGGTATATGCGGGATTATATTTAATAAGATATCATCAGAAATATTAAAAAAAACTATCTACGGCACTGTTGTAAAGAAATAATAAATAATTAATTGCTTTAAAAACTATTAATACAGCGACCGTTTTTTAAAGTGAAAAATAATCGTTGACCCCATTTGACCCCAAAATCCAACAACATGGAGACCTTGACGAAGATGTCGAGATGCCTTCTGCGGCAAACTGTGATTTCTCGGCAATGTCGGTGGTTTTTACAACGGTCCTCCTACAGTGTTGTGGCTGGAAGTGCCGGGCATACGCTGAGCGTGCGGAAGAAGGTTGACCAGCTTAGAGACAAAGCTTTACAAGGAGGGGGTGTCAAGAGGATCGGGAAACAACATGAGAAGGTTGATTTCTTGTTTTTATACGACAATGTTGCTATGCTTAGGCCTGCGGACTTGAGGTATTTTCGGACACACTGTCTTTTTATTTTCTGCACTATACATGATAATTCATACAATCTAACGTTAATGCAACCATAGAAACCTAGCTTTCACTTGTCATTTGGTACCACCACTGTATGCCACTGCTCTATAGCAGTTCCTTACAATGTTTTGTATGATGAGATGTTACTGTAGTAGGACGAGGAATAGTGATAAAGATAGTGCCGTCGCTGGGGCTTGAACCCGCGACCATTGGCTCTCCAGCCCGATACTCTACCGCTGAGCTAAATGGAAATTCCCTACAGCTGACGCTTGTAAGGCAACCTAATGAATCCACATCTTTTACATTACAGTCATCAAATGTTCTTATCCTTTGTTTCTCTTTTAAATGGAATTGTATATAAAATTGTCTTTCGACATTGATCATAGTTTGTGTCTTCAACATTTTTGTAGAAGAATGTCAGTGGTTTGACTATAAGGGTAGCCCGATAGTCTGAGACTAGTGAAATCCCCAGCTGGACTAGTGGTTCTAAAATCCAATATAGTCTGACAGACAAGTGTCTGGCTATATAGCTAGTGGAAATGAAAGAGTCACGTGTCCAACAAATAAAATATCTACCCATTACCAAAAAAAATTAGGATTTACATAATTCTTTTTGACTTATTCATTTACTATAAAACACACCAACCTTATAGTTTCAATCTTTTCTCGAAAGCATGTAAAGTTTGTAATGATAGCATCAATCTGATAGTTGAGATAGTGCATTTCGATGATGATAAGATGTTTACCCCAGGTTTTTAGCTCACCTGGCCCGAAGGGCCATGTGAGCTTATGCCGTACTGCGGCGTCCGGCCGTCAACTTTTTCTTTTGAACGACTTCTTCTGAAGAACTGTAGGACCTAGGGTCATGCTTTTTGGCCAGTAGGTACCTGGGATGGAGTGCTATAAAGTTACCTCATCAAAATGACCTTGCCTTACTTTCAAGGTCACAGCGGTTAAATATGTTAAAAATAATTTCAAACAATAATATCCTAAGAACCATTTGAACTAGATCAAGTCATGATACTTGGGTATGTTATGTAGACCAGCAGTGCGAATATTTTTCTCAGTTACAGTTATGAGGTCAAATGTCAACTTTAAATGCCAGTGGGGGGTTCAAATGTCAATTTGGTTAAAATCTTTAACAATCTTCTTCTCAAGTTCCATTAGGCCCAGGGTCATGATATTTGGCCAGTATGTACCTAGGATGGAGTGCTATAAAGTTTCCTCATTTAAATGACCTTGACCTTCTTTCAAGGTCACAGCTGTTAAATATGTTAAAAACTTCAAACAACAATATCCTAAGAACCATTTGAACTAGAGTCATGATACTTGGGTATGTTATGTAGACCAGCTGTGTGAATTGTTTTCTATATTACAGTAATAAGGTCAAAGGTCAACTTTAAGTGCAAGTCGGGAGTCAAAGGTCAATATGAGTTAAAAGCTTTAACATTAAAATTTCAAGTTTCAAACAACAATATCTTCAGAACCGTTTAAGAGATGTTAAAATGTCTTAAGTTACCTATATGTCAGTTGCATGTAACAAAAGAAACATGTGAGCGATACAGGCCCTCTGGGCCTCTTGTTAGGGCTTTTCACCAACTGGTGAATAGACCTATTGTTTTTGTTATGTTTCTTATTCTTCTTCTTATTAGGGCTTTTCACCAACTAGTGAAAAGACCTATTGTTTTTGTTATGTTTCTTATTCTTCTTATTCTTCTTATTCTTATTATTATTATTCTTCCGTACTTTGCGGAGTCCTAATCTTTTGATTGGTAAAAGATAGGTTTATAGTCTTTAAAGTATATTGTAGGAAAAGGTCTGAAGCTGATCAAGCAACATTTTGAAGTAGGTCAAAAATCAGATGATTGACTATCAAGTTTGAAAAAATGATTGACCTTGAATGACTTTCAAGGTCTCACAGAGGTCATATGTGTAAAAATATTGAAACCACTTTTATACAACTTCTTCTCAATAACCAAAATGCCCAGGGTGATGATATTTGGCCAGTAGCATGCTGGGATGAAGGGCTACAAAGTTTGTTCAAATGAATGACCTTGACCCACTTTCAAGGTCACAGGAGTCAAATGTCTTAAAATCTTCATTGTGTCTTTAGCATGCTGGGATGAAGGACTACCAAGTTTGTTCAAATGAATGACCTTGACCCACTTTCAAGGTCACAGTGAGTCAAATGTCTTAAAATCTTGAAACAACTTCTTCTCAATAACCAAAAGGCCGAGGGTACTGATATTGTGCCTTTAGCATGCTGGGATGAAGGACTACCAAGTTCTTGTTCGACATTCAAGGTCACAGGCGTCATATGTTTAAATCTTTTAATAGGTTCTTATGAATCAAACACTGATATTCTGCCTGTAGCTGTACTTTTTAATTAGTCCACTTTTAAGATTACAAGTGTGAGATTAATACCAGGTGAGCGATGCAGGCCCATTGGGCCTTTTGTTTTAACATTCTCATATATATTATTACATCAATTTAGATACCAATTCAGAAAAATAATTGTTTTCTTTAATAGTTTGAAACAAGATGCATAGAATAATATTACCAGGTACTGTATATGCATTGTAGTTGAGAAACAAAAAAATAAAAAAAACAGTTTAGACTGTGACTATTTTCACATACTGAAACCAGGATATCAAGTGTTATGTACCATTGTACTGTTTTAGAAGAAGATAGGAAAGAAGTGCCAAGTGAGCTTATGCCGTGGCGCGGCGTCCTTCGTCCGTCGTCCGGTGTCAATATTTTACTTTAAACGAATTCTTCTTAATAACCGAAAGACCTAGGGTGTCGATATTTGGCCAGAAGCAAACTGGGATGAAGGGCTACAAAGTTTGTTAAAATTAATGACCTTCACCCATTTTCAAGGTCACAGAGGTCAAATATGTTAAAAACTTTAAACATCTTCTTCTTGATAACCAAACTGCCCAAGGAGATGATATTTGGCCAGTAGCATGCTTGGGTGAAGGGCTACCAAGTTTGTTCAAATGAATGACCTTCAATTATATTCAAGGTCACAGGGGTCAATTGTCTTAAAAAACATTTAAACAACTTCTTCTGAATAACCAAAATGCCCAGGGTGATGATATTTGGCCAGTAGCACGCTGAGATGAAGGGCTACAAAGTTTGTTCAAATGAATGATCTTCACCCATATTCGAGGTCACAGGGGTCAAATTTGTTTAAAATCTTTAAACGACCTCTTCTGAATAACCATGGGTCCCAGGAGGTTGATACTTTGCAAATTGCATCCTGAGATGAAAGGCTATGAAATTTGTTCGACTTTCAATCACAGGGGTGAAATGTTTTACAAAAAAATAACAGGGTCTTTTGAATGAATTTCAATCATAAATACTGATATTTTTCCTGTAGCTTTATTTTAGATCACTTTTAAGGTTACAAGTGTGAGATTTATACCAGGTGAGCGATGCAGGCCCATTGGGCCTCTTGTTTCCATTCTCTTTTGAAAATTTGCAAGATATTTTCCACCATTACCTACAGCAATGTATTTTTGAGTATTGTAAATATCTTTAATTAGGTTTTTCAAAGCTTAAAAATCTGCCACTTTCCCTTTGTTGTATATAGCGTCCTAATCCAGGTTAATTTAAAAGATTCTATAAATGATTGTAAATGTAGCATTTTGAGTCCCCCTTCCAGATAATTCTTTATAACAGTGTCACTTTTTATTTTATCTGATAAAATCTCGGGGTTTCTTGATCACACAGGCTTTCGTAATGAGGCCATGATGGAAATGTGAAAATGAAATTTCTTAGTGATAATGCTTGGTATAATGAATCAATATATCTGTAGGGGAAGCTGACGGCGAGAGAGAGAATACACCTGGTAATGGATCCAGACTCTTTCATTGAATATGACATGTTCCTGGAACATAACTGCACAGACTTTGGGATGGAAAAGGAAAAGGTAATCATTTATGGCTCAAAGTTCTATTAAAATTCTGAAATATTTAATTCTGGCTCCCTAATTAAGGCAAAGGACAGCTTCAGGTTGTTTCAAATACTGATGATATGGACGTCTAACGAATTTTGCATATTTGGGAATACAGAGCAAGAGATATGTACAGTAAAACCCTGCTAACTCGAACCTCGTTGGGACCAGATCAATAGTTCGAGGAATACATGGTATTCAACTAATCCAAGGTTGTCCGACATGGTCATTATATATATATATGTCTGTATTGCCCATTTTGCAATGTTATTATAAGGGTACAAAGAACCGTACGAATCCTACTATCAATTGGAATGTTAATTTCGAGATTTTGGTGCACTCTGTAGAGGACTTCACAATACAATGGGCAAAACAACGGCATGTTGGATCCACTGGCAGGTTAAACTATAGAGGTTGGTCCTTGTTCATATATTTTAAGATCCATCGGCGATGGGCTATCTTTAAGTTAAAAGACGTTTATTGACGATCGTATATGTCTCCCATTCTTGAAATCGAAGACACAACAGATCCTCCTACAATGATTTTGAGTGGAAGCTAGGGATAAATTAGACTTCGAGGAACACTGGGTATTCAAGTAATAGAATGGGAGTTCGAGTAATCCGAGGTTAATTTACAAAGAATATATAAGAACATGGTCGGGACCAAGCGAACTATTCGAGGAACAGGGAGTATTCGAGTAATGCGAGTAAGTGGGGTTTCATGATCGCAGTATGTCTTTTGTAAAACATTTCCAATGTATTTGATATTTGCCATAAAGAAATGAAATTATAACAACAGATTCCATATGCTATTGCCTACATTTTAATTTATCTGCAAAATAAAAGATAAGTGATATTATTAAAGAGAAAACTAAAAAAAAAAGGTATACCTTTATATATGGACTACAAGCTGGGGTAGGAAGGTTTATTTTAGATCTCATGAAATGTGGTTGTTTTTTTTTACAGTACCCAGGTGACAGCGTGGTGACGGGGCGAGGCACAATAAATGGAAGGACCTGCTTCATCTTTAGTCAGGTATTTATTAGCATAATCACAGTGTCAGTCTGTCCGTTGGTCTGTACATCCATTCCTTTTATTCAAGAGATCATCTCCGAATTCTGAAGTCTAAAAGAGCATCAAAGTAATGATAATTCATCAGTAACTTGCTGGCATAGGGTGTTTCAAAGGTTATGAAAAGAAATGACCTGGATCCATATTAAGGTCACAGGGGTGAATGTTCTTCAAACACTCTGATGTGTTCTCCTGAAGAACCAGAAGTTTTGGTTATGATGTTAAGCTATCAGCTAGCTTGCACAGAATGCTGTAAAGTTTGCTGTTAGAAACAACTTTATATTCATGGTGACAAAGGGTAAAATTTATCAAAACTCAAAATTTTCTTCAGAAAAACCCAAAGCACTAGAGTAATGATATACATATGATCATTAGCTGTCTGGCATAGAGCGCTACAAAATGTGCTGAAAGAAATGACCTTAATCTTTGTTTAAGGTCACAGGAGTCAAATTTGTAAAAATACTCAAAACAACTTCTTCTAAAGAACCAAAAGCACTAGTGTTATGAGTGCCAAGCTATAAATCTCCTATTTTTCTGAATTTCACATCTAAATGATCTAATCGCAAATGATGACAGACATTTGTTGAAACATCGATTACAATGTTCTTTACAGAGAGCATATTTGTAAATCAGTGTTGGCAGATATATTTCTGCTGTGTTATATGTTGAACACATTTACTAGTTTTTCAACCATTCACTTTAATTTAATTGTAACTGAAACAGGCTAATATATAGTACATTGTATCAAGGCTTGGTCAATATTTGCTGGTACAGTGTGCTTAACTGTAATTGTAATGTTTGAATTGGATTTTAAATTTGATTAATTTCATTGTTCAGTTATAAATTTTTTGTTTTAGGATTTTACAGTTTTTGGTGGTAGCTTGTCTGGAGCTCATGCCAAGAAAGTCTGTAAGGTAAGATAGCTCACCTGTCACAATGTTTCTGTAAGATAAGATAGCTCACCTGTCACATTGTTTCTGTAAGGTAAGATAGCTCACCTGTCATATTGTTTCTGTAAGGTAAGATAGCTCACCTGTCAAATTGTTTCTGTAAGGTAAGATAGCTCACCTGTCATATTGTTTACTTCATTTCAATCATTTGTTTGCAATGAAAATTTTATGCATGATATATAAGTAACTTCATTTGTGTTTAAATTTGTCTGCATTTTTTAACCTTTTAACTTTTTAATATATTTATATCCAATATATATACGTAGTAAATACTTAATCATATAAAGCTGGGAAATAGGTTCCCTCACAACTACTTGTACTTTATAAAAGTATATAACTTATCTTTTTTGACGGCAAACCCTGCTTCCTCTTCTTCTTTTGTTTTTTTTAATCAAGTAACTAAAAATATATAGTTAAAAAAAAAAATATTTTCACTCTCTGCTTTCTCTGCAACACATTTTCAGAACTTTGTTTTTGTTAATTTGTATACTTAATTTAATATTAATCTATTTTCAACTTCTAACTTTGTAAATCCATATTTATAATGAGAAACATTATTTTTGGGAATCTCTTTTATTTTTATGCTTTTTCTATCGTCCTTTATTTTCTTACTATAAAATATTTTTGAGAAATACATACACTATCATAAATTTAAATTGTACTCACTATAGGGACTCCCCGGCTAATCTATGCAATCAGCCAAGCCCGGCAAAAGGACCAAGTACTGTACCTAACGGAAGCAGAGACGTCCTCGACTGTCGGGTGTAACTGGTTGTTTTAGACCCGGGGCACAAAACACACACATTATTGTTAATAATACTTCCCTATTTATACACGAATATATGCAATAATCACATTCTTGAAAACAGAAAAAATAATTATATTTTTAAGCCACTCCTAGCGAAAGCTGGGCGGCTTATTAATTCTGTCCAGAGAACGAAATGACGGACCCACTTCCGTTCGGGGTTCGTGCGCATAATTCAGTCGTGCATGCTTCCGCTATATAGTTTCGTTATCGTAAATAGAAAGTAGAATCTCTGACACTCACCTGTGGGTTACATAAAGTCTTCTGATACTCTTCTCCAAATAATAATCCATACTTTAAATAATTGCTGAAAACAAAATGTTCATCTCCGGTGCATTCTAAGAGTGTTGTGGTGGTGAAATTCGTTCACTAGGTTTGAGCGTTTTAGCAACTTGGATTGCGGTCTGAGGAGTGTTACGCGTGTGAAACACATATTATACGAGAAAGCACATATGAAGACTTTCAAGCATTGACGCTTTCTGTAGAAGGAAGAAGTAAATGTATATACCTATAAACCGTATGAGTGATGAAGTATAACCTCTATTTTGATGTTTGAAACGGGAACGTAATATGACATATGGTGCCTAGGATGATAACGGTAATGGCTCTGAGACGAGACGATATGTGAACTGTGTATGTTTATCAAACATTTCTGTAACACAGCATGCTATTTCTTGTGTATTGATTTATGAAAGTGCAACAATTTAAGAACATGACACAACAGCCGCACCGTGTCAAAATAGTATCCAATTCGGTGTAAGGGAAATAACTCTTACGTTGTTATAGTCACATTGAGAAATGTAATTCAAATATATTCCAAAAACATTTGTGAAATTTTGTATATTCAATGACGGTAAATATAGTCGCTACATATATTAATAATTATATATTGATATGAATAAAAAATAAATAAAAATAAAATAGTACAATGTCTCTTTTCTCCATGTTTTCCCACTACTGTTAATTAACCTTCATTTCACAAGCACAAAATGCACCTATTCTTTATTACCCATTCCCCGATTGCCATTCTGCACGTAAATGCTCATGTCATATCATTGGAGGATGCTATTTAATGAAAATTACAACAATGCGTCACACTTAAAGAGGGTGAAAAAAGAGGAGAGAGAGAATGTTTTTAAGGCATCATTTAAGAGGCGATTGATTTTGAAAATCCCAAAGGCAACATCATCACATGACCTGATTTTCAATTAGCAGAATACAGAACACATATCTGAGGTATTATAGTAGATATTGATGCTCAACGTGTTACTGAGCAACTAAATTTAAAGTGGTGAGCGGCTGTGATGTCACACTGACATAATTCTATTTTTTTTTATATTTTTATATTATCATATAATTTTTTGCAAAGGTAGTTTAACAGAAAATAAAGATAATTCCTATTTAAGCCTTCTTGGCCCCTTCCGATCGCCCTCCCACGACAAAAAATACTAGAATGTGGGACAACGAAACCAACACATAAGAGCGACTGGCGCATATCGGTTCGCCAAACCACCACAACCACCAACCAGTTTCCAGTTGTCTGCAAAGTGTCCAGCTTTGTATACATGCTGTACAGTAGTGGCCCAATGTGAGTGCTGAAAATACTAAAAAGTTTTTTGTGAAGTGTTGGTCTACCACCATCAATAGGCTGTTGTCTATGACAAGGTTGAAGTATTTTTATGGAGTGTTAGCAAGGTTCTGAACCATATTTAAGGGACTCAAAACACCTTTATTGGGTTTGCATGTGCAGTACGTGTCGGATCGCTCACCACCATCAATACCCTAATGACTATTTCACATTGTCTGCTCAACTCTTCTTTTGAAATGTAATACATCTTATTAAGGTACAGCAAATTGTTTCACAGTATCATTCAATGATACTTATCCAGTACTTTGGGAGATTGTAAACAGGATTAGTTTGTGTAGGTGATGGACCAGTACTTTGGGAGATAGTAAACAGGATTTGTTTGTGTAGGTGACGGACCAGTACTTTGGGAGATTGTAAACAGGATTAGTTTGAGTAGGTGATGGACCAGTACTGTGGGAGATTGTAAACAGGATCAGTTTGTGTAGGTGATGGACCCGTACTTTGGGAGATTGTAAAGAGGATTAGTTTGTGTAGGTGAGGGACCAGTACTTTAGGAGATTGTAAACAGGGTTTGTCCGTGTAGGTGACGGACTAGTACTTTGGGAGATTGTAAAGAGGATTAGTTTGTGTAGGTTATGGACCAGTACTTTGGGAGAGTGTAAACAGGATTAGTTTGTGTAGGTTATGGACCAGTACTTTGGGAAATTGTAAACAGGATTTGTTTGTGTAGGTGAAGGACCAGTACTTTGGGAGAGTGTAAACAGGATTAGTTTGAGTAGGTGATGGACCAGTACTTTTGGAGATTGTAAACAGGATTCGTTTGTGTAGGTGATGGACGCGTACTTTGGGAGATAGTAAACAGGATTTGCTTGTGTAGGTGACGGACCAGTTCTTTGGGAGATTGTAAACAGGATTCGTTTGTGTAGGCGATGGACCAGTACTTTGGGAGAGTGTAAACAGGATTAGTTTGTTTAGGTGACGGACCAGTACTTTGGAATATAGTAAACAGAATTAGTTTGTGTAGGTTGCGGACCAGTACTTTGGGAGAGTGTAAACAGGATTAGTTTGTGCAGGTGATGGACCAGTACTTTTGGAGATTGTAAACAGGATTAGTTTGTGCAGGTGATGGACCAGTACTTTTGGAGATTGTAAACAGGGTTTGTTCGTTTAGGTGATGGACCAGTACTTTGGGAAATTGTAAACAGGCTTTGTTTGTTTAGATTATGGACCCGTATTTTGGGAGATTGTAAGCAGAATTTGTTTGTGTAGGTGATGGAACAGTACTTTGGGAGATTGTAACCAGGATTAGTTTGTGTAGGTGGTGGACCAGTACTTTAGGAGGTTGTAAACAGGATTAGTTTGTGTAGGTGATGGACCAGTACTTTGGGAAATTGTAAACAGGATTTGTTTGTTTAGATTATGGACCCGTATTTTGGGAGATTGTAAGCAGAATTTGTTTGTGTAGGTGATGGACCAGGCTATGTTGGTCGGTGCACCTGTGATCGGCCTCAATGACTCGGGAGGGGCGAGGATTCAGGAGGGGGTGGAGTCACTCGCTGGATATGCTGACATATTTCAGGTAAGGCAGCATTCATATAATATTATCATGCAAATAGTGCAAGCTATATACTTGTAGCTCCAAATCTGATATGCTGACTTTTTTTCTGTGGAATAGTTTCTTCTAATTGTGTGTGTGAAAAATTTCTTTTAAAACATAGATTTAAAATTCCCTCGCATAATGATAACAAATTTATCTTGTACACTTATCGAAAATTATGCTCAGGAAATTTATTTGTGAAAGGTCAAGGTAACTGTTAATAAAAATAGAATGTTCTTGTCCAAATAATAACTTCAGAACATTACAATGTTCTTTTCTGTATACAAACTTCAGGACTATTGATGACACTAAGCTCACATTAGTATGTGGGTTGACCTAGGGAAGTGGTTGAAGGTCAAGATTACTGAAAATCAGACTTTTTAGCCCACCATCATCTGATGGTGGGCTATTCAAATCACCCTGCGTTCGTGGTTCGTGGTCCGTCCATCCATATCTGTCATCCGCCGTCCGTCGTCCGTCCTTAAACAATTCTTGTTATCGGTATTTTTCAAGAAGTACCAGAGGGATCTTTCTCAAATTTAATATGTAGGTTCCCCTTTGTCCTGAGCTGTGCAGGGCAATTTTTGGGACTGATCGGATACAACATGGCCGACAGGCAGCCATCTTGATTTTTGATAGTGAAAGTTTATCGGTATTTCTCACGAAGTACAAGAGAGATCTTTCTCAAATTTTATATTTGGGTTCCCCTTGGTCCTTAGCTGTGCAGGGCAACTTTTGAGACTGATTGAATAACAACATGGCCGACAGGCAGCCATCTTGGATTTTGATAGTGAAAGTTTGTTATCGCTATTTCTCTGGAAGTCCAATAGGGATCTTTCTCAAATTGTATATGTAGGTTTCCCTTGGTCCTTAGCTGTGCAGGGCAACTTTTGACACTGATCAGATAAACAATATGTTCGACAGGCAGCCATCTTGGATTTTGATAGTAAAAATTTGTTATCTGTATTTCTCAAGAAGTACCTGGAGGGATCTTTCTCAAATTTTAAATGTAGGTTCCCCTTGGTTCTTAGCTGTGTAGGGCAACTTTTGAGAATGATCGAATAACAACATGGCCGACAGGCAGCCATCTTGGATTTTGATAGTAAAAATTTGTTATCTGTATTTCTCAAGAAGTACCTGGAGGGATCTTTCTCAAATTTTAAATGTAGGTTCCCCTTGGTCTTAGCTGTGCAGGGCAATTTTAGAGACTGATCGGATAAACAACATGGCCGACAGGCAGCCATCTTGGATTTTGATAGTGAAAGTTTGTTATCGCTATTCCTTGGGAAGTACAGGAGGGATCTTTTTCAAATTTTATATGTATGTTCCCCCTGTTCCCTTGTTGTGCAGCAGTGCCTGAAATGGACGGTCTCTCACTTGCCAATGGTGATTAAAGTCTTGCTCGGGCGACCAAAGTTGTCAAAAGTGAAGTAGTCACTGGCCCAACCAAAATAGTTCAGGCTGTTGAAAAAATTATGAATGAAAGAAATTATAGTCCCTTCCACATTAACTGGGGGGGGCACTACATTTTTCAGTTGTCATTACTTCGATTTGAATCGAACTGTCCGTGATTTAGAAAATGTGATATTTTTTTTTCAGATTTTCTATATAAATACTGCCAGGGTGTCTTAACTTTAATTAGACTTAACTTTAACTAGGGTTGAAGAATTAAAAATATAATTTTAACTAGGGTTGAAGAATTAAAAATATAATGTTTTATTCTGTTTTACATATAACAAGCATTGTGATGTTAAATGTAATTTAAATGTGCTGAAGCATTGTGTTAAATGCTGTGGAAATATTTCTTGCCAAAATTATTTGGGCCACCAATATGTCATTTGGGCCAGTGCTTCAAATTCTTCTTGCCCCCAATTTTTTTTGGGCCAGCCAATGCAGGTTCCCCACTATCCTTTATTATTCATAACCAAAATTGCCTACCGACAGCCATCTTCGATTTTTGACATTGAAGGTTTATTAGTACTATTTCTCAGGGATAACTTGAGGGATCTTTCTCAAATTTGATATATAGGTTGCCTTTGATCCCTCGTTTTCCATGTTATATTTTGAGACTGATCATAAACACAAAATGGCTAAAGAAAGAACTAAACAGATCTTTCTCATATTGCAATGATCAATTCTATTTCTTTCACTTTAAGTACTGTACTAGTAAATATGTGAAATGACAAACTCACTTTGAAGGTTGGCTTTCATACACATCAGTACTAAGTTTAGATCAAAAGTTACCTCAAGGTGCATTTACTGTTAACATGACTCGATCAAACAGATTAGAGGAAAGAAGAGAAAAGATCGAACTGACAAAGAACTAATGAAGATGGTACAATGGTGGGCGCCAAGATCCCTCTGGGATCTCTTGTATTCCATCCCAATTCTACAGGTCAAATGTTTTTATGAAGGTCAATATGGGTTGCACTAAAGAAGAGAAAAAAAATCCAATATATTTTGGATATGGTCTGTCATAGGTCAATGTCAATATTTATGTTACTTAAAATAGAACCTAACTTTGAGGTAACAGCTTCCGTTCAATACATGAAGCAACAGTTTATTAGCACAGCTCCTTACTTATGAAAATCAGTGTATTTTGCTCAAGGTGTTTTTGGGAGGATATGCTGCCGCTGGCAGCTCTGTCATTCAGAACTAGTCAGAAGTAAATAGAAATTATTTGGATTTTTTTAAAAATGATTTAATCAGTGTGATGAAAAGACTAAATGCCTGAATTTTTCAGTAAGATAATTATGAAACTATAGGCCTGACTTGTGAGTTGTCAGCTGCTTATAAGTCCCTCACCAGTTACAGGCGGGGACTATAGGTTTGCACTCTGTCCTTCCTTCCGTCCTTTCGTCCTTCCATCCAAGAAGTTTGTCTGGGCATATCTTCTATACTATTTCACCTGGAGTAACCAGATTAAGTGTACAAGGACGTCTTGGGTGGCGGAGTGCAGAGAGCAAGAATGAGGTCACTGTGACCTGTGACTTGACCTTTACTTTTGAAAAAGTTTGTCCGGGCATATCTATATATACTATTTCACCTGGAGTAACCAGATTAGGTCTACAAGGACATCTTGGGATAGCGAGTGCAAGAAGTAGGTCACTATGACCTCACTGTGACCTATGCTTTGAACAGTAGTTACATCCTGACATAAGTGTACTGTTTATAAATATAGAAATTATTACTGGTTGGGGACTATGGATTGCCTTGCAATACTTTGCCTTGTTATTTTAATGGAATCCTTGATGTAGGGTTAACTGTTCAATTGCTAGCACTGTTGTTGTGTTGTATGTATACTGGGAAATGTTCGGTGCAATTTAAATGTTCGCCCTTTTCGTCCACCTTAATGAGGGCAAATTTATCATTACAGGGAATATAAATAAACAGCATAATAGACATAGTAATTAAATGTGAAGAGCGAATAAACTCTGGGCGAAATTAAGGGCCAAAATTTAATTGGTCGAAAACATTTCCTGGTACACAGTAGCGTTCAACTCACAATGTATTAACCACACTCCTTTGTCATGTAGGAGTGTGACTGAGTTCACAAAGTACTTAAGGGTGGTTGTTGAGTTGAGGAAATTTCAGTGATTTGTTTTATTTTCAGAGAAATGTGAATGCTTCTGGAGTTATTCCACAGATATCCCTCATCATGGGTCCATGTGCAGGTACATTGTCTAACCACTTCTTCTTATCTTCATCTCCAAACCCTTGTGTGTCTCCTGTTTTCGTAGGGAAAGATCAGCTTGTCACCCCTAGAGGGAGATAGCCTCACGCAGAATGAATGGCCCAATCTAAATTGTGGCATCATAGAAAGTGAATGGCAGTAATTATACACCACATGTGCTTTTGTTTACAGACATGCCATGCTATTGTTTGTCAATGGAGTTGTGACTCAAATAAAAGCATTGGAGGAAAATAAGCATCCCCTACCTTGAAGGTGTTACAGAGAAATATCCAATCCTTGGGGTGATTATTTAATTATCTTACCCTCAGACAACCAACAAACTCACCTCTTGGATTGGAGATTTCTCTGACACACACTCAAGGAAAGTGGGCTGCTATGCAAATAAGACTGAAGAGATGTTGACTTTGGTGGTATGAAGCATCCTTGGACCAAGCAGGTTCAATTTTATATGAATGAATGATGTGGCCCTTTGCGGAATAGAGGAGCTGAGCCCAATAGAGAAAATTGGAGAAAACATAACCCTAAAATACAAATAAACATATCTTCACTGATGCTATTCCGTGTAAAGGGGATTCAGTTTTATGTAAACAAAGGACAGGAAAGCCTCTTAAATGCAAACAGAAGTTAATCTTTACAAGACTACTTTTTTGCTCTGGATAGCAAGATTTTAAGTATATTTCATTTGCATTCTTGAGTAGGGAGGATTAATTTAAGTATGAAGGATTGAGGTGGGGAAAAGTGGAGAACCAAAGAAATGTAGCAGTTAAATATTTAAAAAAAAAAAATACTCCTTAAGAATGGATCGACAGATTTAAATTTTGTTTTATATAAAGTATTCCTGAGTTATTGGGATGCAGTTTTCTATAAAAAGTAACTGTTCTATTGGTTTTTACAAGGACATGTTCTTTCATATTATCAACATCTGTTCAGCTTGCATGTTGTGAATGAAACAAAACCCCGAAAAATAAATTTATTCAGTACTTAGTGTTAGTATTTCTATTCAGTAAACAGACTCAGCTTTACTATTCAGTAACCAGGCTGAGCTTTACCATTCAGTAAACAGGCTCAGCTTTACCATTCAGTAAACAGACTCAGCTTTACTATTCAGTAAACAGACTCAGCTTTACTATTCAGTAAACAGGCTCAGCTTTACTATTCAGTAAGCAGACTCAGCTTTACTATTCAGTAAGCGGACTCAGCTTTATTATTCAGTAAACAGGCTCAGCTTTATTATTCAGTAAACAGGCTCAGCTTTACTATTCAGTAAACAGACTCAGCTTTACTATTCAGTAAACAGGCTCAGATTTACTATTCAGTAAACAGACTCAGCTTGACTAGTCAGTAAACAGGCTCAGCTTTACTATTCTGTAAACAGACTCAGCTTTACTATTCAGTAACCAGGCTCAGCTTTACTATTCAGTAAACAGGCTCAGCTTTACTATTCTTTAAACAGGCTCAGCTTTACTATTCAGTAAACAGGCTCAGCTTTACTATTCAGTAAACAGGCTCAGCTTTACTATACAGTAAACAGGCTCGGCTTTACTATTCAGTAAACAGGCTCAGCTTTACTATTCAGTAAACATGCTCAGCTTTACTAATCAGTAAATGGACTCAGCTTTACTATTCAGTAAACATGCTCAGCTTTACTATTCCAGGTGGTGCTGTCTACTCTCCAGCATTGACGGATTTCACATTCATGGTTAAGGTGAGTTATCTCCCCTAGGCCTGACAAACGCATGTTCACTAAGGAAAGCAAAATGTGACATACATTCTAATCCTTATCACCTATTTCGTTAACTAATCATTTAAACTTCGTGTTTTGTTAATCCATTTTGTAGCACATCTGTCTGAAGGGCAGCCAGTGCAATTATGCTTTGATGCATTGTCCATCAGTCCATCAGTCCACATCAGTCCATCAGTCCACATCAGTCCATCAGTCCATATCAGTCCATCAGGTCCATATCAGTCCATCAGTCCACATCAGTCCATCAGTCCATCAGTCCACATCAGTCCATCAGTCCATCAGTCCAAGTTCATATGAAAGACTGCATGTCCAGAATGGCTCAAATAATTTTGAACTAATTCGGCATGGGGCATTTTGTTCCCAACTCATTGTTGTACAAACAGAGTGTATATCCCCCTCCCCCTGTTTGGGACAGTAGGTCTCATAGGGGAAATAGAGTTGAATCTTCAAAATCCTTTTTCATTACAGATGACAGTATTTGAACAAAATTTACCTAGAGCACTCTTTGGCTAATGGGACCCAATATTGGGATTAATGAATCAAAAGTGATATAAGAGAAGGGTGTTATTTATCTGATTCAGTTAATATTTAAAACCTAAAATTTTCTTAGAATTCAATAGTTTATGGCCATATAGTACAGATCTAATACTGATTTACCAGACTGAAGTGTAAAGTACATGGTTAAACTTTAATCTCCAAATATATGCTTTTAACATGTTTGTTATCCTTTCTCATCAGTCTTCAGTGTCCACATGTACATAGCTCATCAAAGTTGGTCAACTCCCAATTATATAAATAGATTTACAATAAAAAGGTAATCAAAAGGAAAAGATGACCATGACAACGTGGTGCTGGGTATAACGACTAATGGTTATAATCCAAGTTTCCGTTGACTAGTTTCGACACATGAGGCATGTTGTCATCAGAACAAATTTAAATAGGAAAAGGCAGGTATAAGGTTAATAATACGATGCCTAACCTGGTAACAGTAATAGCACGGTTTGCTTGAATGACGTAATACATAATGCACAATCAAGTGACTTCATCAATAACAGCGAGGGCTGGCTAAAAATGTGGGAATTAATATTCAGTGTTCACTGCACAAGCTGAGATAGCAGTGAAATCTACACAAAGATAAACAGTTCTATGTATTAGAATAAATAAAATAGTTGCTTATTTAATGCAATACATGTAGATGAAAACAATGTAAATCATAGAATATAAAATAGTAAGAATAGGTATTAGAAAGATAAAATAATAAAACTTCAGATCAGTTCTTTTATTATGAATAACGCAACCATGTGACCACACTCTAGAATCATCCTAGTACAAGGTAAGCCTCATCCTAGTACAAGGTAAGTCACATCTTAGTACAAGGTAAGTCTCATCTTAGTACAAGGTAAGTCTCATCCTAGTACAAGGTAAGCCTCATCCTAGAACAAGGCAAGTCTCATCTTAGTACAAGGTAAGTCTCAACAACCATGTGACCACACTCTAGGAATCATCCTAGTACAAGGTAAGTCTCATCCTAATACAAGGTAAGTCTCATCCTAGTACAAGGTAAGCCTCATCCTAGAACAAGGTAAGTCTCATCTTAGTACAAGGATGAGACTTACCTTGTACTAGGATGAGTAGTACAAGGTAAGTCTCATCCTAATACAAGGTAAGTCTCATCCTAGTACAAGGTAAGCCTCATCCTAGAACAAGGTTAGTCTCATCTTAGTACAAGGTAAGTCTCATCTTAGTACAAGGTAAGTCTCATCCTAGTACAAGGTAAGCCTCATCCTAGAACAAGGTAAGTCTCATCTTAGTACAAGGTAAGTCTCAACAACCATGTGACCACACTCTAGGAATCATCCTAGTACAAGGTAAATCTCATCCTAGTACAAGGTAAGTCTCATCCTAGTACAAGGTAAATCTCATCCTAGAACAAGGTAAGTCTCATCCTAGTACAAGGTAAATCTCAACCTAGTACAAGGTAAGTCTCATCCTATTTTTTCGTCATTCTGAAAAACGGAGAAAAAAGAAGACTCATGTATGACACTCCCTTGGAGGATGCAAACTTATTGGATGACCGTAACTTTAGAATGCATCGCGAGAATTCCACGATCGGTACTTGAATTGGCCAATAAGGTCGCCAGGGGCTCTATAGAATCCTTGGTGTACCGATCTCTGTGTTTGTGTTGGACCTGTATCATACTCATATGTGTTAAGTATATCTCCACTATGAGTGCGTTTTTGCTTTTCGTTGGGATGTATGTCCAGTATATGTACAGGTAAGCGAGTTGATTTCATGCTTCATTTCATACGATACATATCAGTAAATTATTTGTTAGAATTTGTATTATAGTCTTATGCTAGGTATTTACTGCACCAACATATAAATGGTCTTGGGGGTTGTAATATTAATCGATTAAATGGATAATTATGGTGTTCACAGGAATATACATATTTAAAAAAGACAGAATATAGGAGTGCAAGCAAATCCGGACAATCCGTCACTTAGTCGTTTCTAATATATAGTATACTACTTTCGGCTTTCTCATGAACTTCCTGTATGTAATTACAGCTTCAGTTTGTAACATTCGTCGTATATTGACACGCACGGGGTACATATGCAACAACCGGATATATATAAAGGTAAATAGTGAAATATAGGACAGTACTGATCCTGGAAGTAGTACTATAATATACTGTTCGTTAAACATCAGCGGCTTGTCCGGATTTGTTTTCACGTTCAGGAGTAACTACCACTACAGGAGTACTGTAACTGTATGGTATATACATTTCTAGTCGAAACGCAAATAGATTTTCTACTTTGGCAATATATAGATCCATAACTTAAAAATTGTTTTCTAGATTTTGACATGGTTAGTATATGTGGCAGCATATAGCTATAGACTGTCAGCAGTAATCTGTACTTTGACTAACATGAAACGTATTTTATGTATATCTCTTATTTTTTCTTTCTCTCCAATGGACGGTGATTGGAATTTTGTTTTACTCTTACATAGACTCTACTCATTCCAATACATTAAACTTTTAGATTATGGATGACTTAACTATTCTGTCAGCTAATTGTCAGGGACTGGGCAAATTTCTCAAAAGAAAGGATACGTTTTCTTACCTAAGAGACAAAAGGTGTAATATATACTGCATACAAGACACACATTTCACGGAGGAGAAGGAAAACATTATTAAAAATGAATGGGGGTATTAAATTTACTTTAGTTCTTATAAATCTAATGCCAGAGGGGTTGCTATTCTATTCAGTAATAATTTTGAATTTAAAGTTAAAAAAGAAAAGAAAGACTTGACAGGCAACTTCTTAGCTATGGACATTGAACTAAAAACCATGAATATTACATTGATTACATTATATGGCCCAAACTCTGATGACCTTGACTTTTACAATAAATTGATTAATACTATAGACAGCTTTGGTAATGATCGAGTGATCATCTGTGGAGATTTTAATCTAGTGATAATTCAGATGTGGACTATGATAAAAGTTACAAGAAAATAAATAATCCTAAACCTAGGGATAAGGTTCTAGAAATAATAGAAAGCTATAATTTAGTGGACATTTATAGAGAGCATCACCCTAACCACAAAAGATATACTTGGAGAAAATCAAACCCAATAAAACAATCAAGGCTAGATTTTTTTTTGATTTCAGAAAATTTATTATCTAGTGTAATAAATTCAACAATTGATTCTGGCTATCAGTCTGACCATTCTTTTCCCAAAACAACATTAAGGCTTAATTAATTTAAAAAGAGCAAAGGATTATGGAAGTTTAACAACTCCTTATTATACCACCAAGATTATTTAGATATAGTTAAAAATGTAATTAAGGAAACTAAAATGCAATATTGTCTCCCTATATACAATTTTGAAAACATTGATGAAATACCTGATATAGATCTACAGTTAACTATAGATGACAATTTATATCTTGAGACTTTATAAGAGGTAAAAAATATCACATGCATCCTATAAAAAGAAACAACAGAACATAAGAGAAACTAAGCTCATTGAAACTATAGAGGAACTAGAAAAACAAGAGATAATTAATGTAGGAGAAATAAATAATAAGAAAAAGGAACTGGAAGAAATTAGATTAGGAAAAAATAAAGGAAGTATAGTTAGATCAAGAGCCAAATGGGAAGAGGAAGGGGAAAAACCAACCAGTTATTTTTTTAGTCTTGAAAAAAGAAATTTTATTTCAAAAATTATACCGAAGATACAACTCGATGATGGCTCTATTATTACAAAACAAGATGATATTCTAGCCGAGACTTAAGTCCTTTTACGAAAAATGTATATCATGCTAGAGAAAACATGGAAGATGTTAATCTTGAAGCCTTTGTTAATCTTGAAAATATTCCAAAACTTAATGAAGTTGAATCTAAAAATTTAGAAGGGTTGATTTCAATTGAGGAAGCAGGCAAAACACTAAGAAATATGAAAAATAATAGAAGTCCAGGCTCAGATAGTTTTACTGTTGAGTTTTTTAAATTCTTTTGGAAACATCTTTGTAATTTTATTGTCAGATCATTAATTATAAACTATGGGTACATAAAAGGAGAATTATCTATCACTCAACATCAGGGCATAATAACTTGTCTTCCTAAAGATAATAAACCACGCCATTTTCTAAAAAACTGGAGGCCTTTAACTTTACTGAATATTATATATAAAATTGCATCTGGGGCTATAGCTAATAGAATAATGCAGTACACAGAAGATAATGATATTCCAGGTATGGTTTTAATGATAGATTTAATTTTGAGAAAGCATTCGATTCTGTCTCGTGGAAGTTCATTGATAAGGTATTGGGTTTCTTTGGGTTTGGTAATGATATTTCAAATTGGCTGAAGGTTTTTCATAATAATGTAGGGGCATATGTAAATCAAGGTGGTAATCTTTCTAAAAAATTTAACATCAAGAGAGACTGT